AGAAAGAAAGAAAGAAAGAAAGAAAGAAAGAAAGAAAGAAAGAAAGAAAGAAAGAAAGAAAGAAAGAAAGAAAGAAAGAAAGAAAGAAAGAAAGAAAGAAAGAAAGAAAGAAAGAAAGAAAGAAAGATTGGAAGAAAAGACGACAAACATAGATGCACTGTGGCTGAGAGTCAAAACAATTGGGTCAGATAATGCATTGACGAAAGGCAAAGACAATGAGACAGTCATGTAAGAAAACTGGCCCCCGAAGGCCTAGCAAGTGGCCCGCAGATCAGTGCCAGTTGCATTGTATTTTAATGATCTTTCTATGGTGGGACTTTGGCTTCTGGCCCGTGATGATCCCTGTTTTCCAACATTTTGGCCCCTGAGTAAACTTAGTTGAATAGCTCTGATGTAAGGCATAACTCAAGCTCCCTTGGTGAAACCTGATTTAAAGTTGTACACACCTAAGCAACCATGTGGAAAACGTTGCAGAACAAGACATAGTTTCAAAAGTAATAAAAATCGAACATATATCACTAACAAATCTACATGGATTATGTATGGATTAGAAACACAGAGAACGACTGCAACACATCTTTGTACATTTTGTTCTCTATACCAGTTAAAAGAAAGACGAATCTGCCGTTACTATATATAGTCAATACCTCTGAAGGCATGAATAAAGATTATTTACTGGTTTTTTTTTTTTACCTCATTAATCACTAATGGTCAGTGTGGGATGGTCTGAAGCCGGTGGTTTTAGTCCCACACTAGTGCAGTCGTCAGAAATCGCAGGTTTATTAGTAGCAAAGGAGCCTGCGAGGTCTCGAGGCATAGTGTCCGCCTCGAGTGCTAGAGGTCCCGGGTTCCGGTTTCGGTGAGAGCTGTGAATTTTTCACGTGGACTTCTAGTAATTTTCCTTGGTCTCTGGGTAGAAAGTCCGTATGTATTGTTGCGCACGTAAGATAATCTCTTAGCAGTTGAAAATCGAAAAGAGTTGCCTAACGGCGCTGCCCGGGCAAAATTTGGAGTTCAAAATATACCTAAAGTATTTCATATCCTCGCCGGTGCTACATTGTTTGTGCACTGCACTGAGATTTTTCAGACTCAGGCTTGAGTTGGAAGAAAAAAGGAGTACTTATGGATTACACCCATGTGCCATGATGTTGATCCGTTGTTCAAACATTAAACAATAGTAGCAATTGTTAACAAACACTCCGTACTTACAGCGTCGTTCACGTAGTTAGTAAAATCTAGTTAAAGGAAAGGAACTGCAAGAATTAGTGGCAATAGAATATTAAATTCAGTTATTTCCCTTAAAGACGACAAGTATTGATGATCTACCATCTGAGGCTATAAAGGCAGCAGGAAAAACGGTAGCAATATGGTTAAGGAGAATATTTCAGGTGGCATTGGAAAATCAAGAAATACTATCAGATTTGCAGACTTCTGTCATCGTCCAGCTGTGGAAAAATAAAGGAAGTTAGAGGGAATGTACTAATTACAGAGGAATATCACTTCTCAGTTACACTGGGAAAATGTATGCTAAGATCATCGAAAAAAAGGCTGAGACCATTGATAGAGTATCAACTTTCAGAAGCACAGATGGGTTTTCGAAGAAAAAGAAGTTGCACAGATACAATTTATGAATTGAGACAACTATCAGAGAGGTCAATAGAACATGATAAGACATGTTTATTGACATACATAAACCAAGAAAAAGCCTTCGATAGAGTCGACAGGAATATGTTGTGGGAATGTATGGGGGAAAAAGGAATCAGCAATCATCTCATTAATATTTGCAAAAGCCTGTACACACGTAGTAAATGTTGCATAAGATCGAAGGCAGGGTTGTCAAGAACTTTTATAGTGAACTCTGGTGTGCGTCAGGGCTGTGTACTATCGCCGCTTCTTTTTATAACATACATGGATACCATATGTAGCGAAACGAACTTTAATTATGAAAAAGATATTACAGAATTACTCTTCGCCGACGACCAGGTACTCATAGCAAAAAATACGGAATGCCTACAGAACCACCTAAATCAAATTAGTAACAAAGGGGAGGAATATAATATGAAAATAAACACTGCGAAGACAGAGACAATGATGATAGGAAAACATAAAGACAATTTAGAAATTAAATTAAAAAACAACACCCTGAGATAAACAGAGGAATTTCAGTATTTGGGAGCAATTTTTACATCCGAATGAAAACCGGACAGAGAAATTAGCTCCAGATGTGCCAAAGCTAATCAAGTAACGAGTCAACTATCTCCCCAGTTGAGACACAAGTAGATACCTTGGAGTACTAAAGTGAATCTTATCAAAACTATTTTTTGGCCAACACTATGCTATCAATGCAAAACGTGGACACTTACATAGTCCAATGAACGTAAAATTGTGACAACAGAGATGAAATGCCTTAGAAGAGCTGCAGGAGTTTCAAGGAAAGATAGAATACGAAATCATGAAATCAGACGAATGCTAGGAATAAAGCCAGTCTTACAGGTCATCAAAGAACAACAAATGAAGTGGTTTGGACCCCTAACAAGAATGCCCTGGTACTATCCACCACAACCGCACTAAAACTTTACAACGGGTATAAAGCGAGTGGAAGACCTGGGAAAATATGGAGTGATGGCATTAAGAATAGATTTACAGAAATGAACATCAGTCTTAATAGTGTTCATCAACGAACATTACATCTTCCCCCGACACCTCGATGAGGTAAAAGGTAAAAGGTGGAAGTAGAAGTCTGACTGACTCTGACTTTCTACCCCACCAGGACATCACACAAGCGAAAAACACCCGATGACACAAAGTGCCACCATGCGTATGAGGATCACCCTGGAGAGGTCCCAGAAACCGCGTTCAGACATTTGGCCATATTGATGGCCTGCCTATATTTCGGCCCTTGGCAAAAGCCAGAGTGGGGCTTCAACTAACAAAAAATTACGTCCTAAAAAGGACGTAAGATATTAATGACATTTCTGGAAGAAGAATTGAATTGAATTTTTTACCCCACCAGGACATCACACAAGCGATAAACACCCGATGACACAAAGTGCCACCATGCGGATGAGGATCACCGTGGAGAGGTCCCAGAAACCGCGTTCAGACATTTGGTCATAATGATGACCTGCCTGTATTGCGGCCCCTGGCAAAAGCCAGAGTGGGGCTTCAAATAACAAAAAATAACGTCTTAAGAAGGACGAAATGAAGTATATCTGGAAGAAGAAGGAGAAGAAGAAATTATTTCCCTTAAATTGTAAGTAGTTTACTGGTTATGATACCTTAATGTAGATACCTCAAAAATGTCCAGTAAGTCTTTCGATTCAAGCTGTTATCATTACTAAAGTACGTACACACGAGTACACACACACACACACACACACACACACACACACACACACACACACACACACATGCACGAACATACACGCGAACACACAAACACAAATACACAACACTCACGCACACACCATAAATAACTGGCCTTTTTTGCCAGTAAAGACAAAAAAAAAAAAAAAGGGAAGCAATTATCAAAAAATGGACGAAATAAAGTTCTCAATACATTGGTCTCCCCACCGAATGTAGGTCAACTCCATTAATAAGTTTCTTGGACTAGTCTACTGTGGTCGGGGTTATGGGTGTTGCGGTCTCTTGTTGTCGGGCATTTACGTTTTTATTCCGAGAAAAAGACGGTATGTGACATAGGTTTCGTCACTCTCGAGGGGGGTTGTGTGTTAGACCCAGTATCTAAATCTGTGTGTAGTGTTAAAAGCTCTGGTATAGTGAAATATACAACACGCGAAATCAGCGCCACTGCGGAATAGCTCAGTGACCTTGTGTCGAATCGCTCGAGGCCGACCTATCAGAGGTGAGGTAGGCTGGAGGTCGACCAATTAAAAGCGAGCTTGTATGTAGCGGAGTGTAAATGGGGGAGACCAACGTATTACTTACCCGAAATATATATCACTACTATGTATAATCGCTGCTAGGTAGGTAGGTAAGTTGTACCCCACCAGGATATCACACAAGCGATAAACACCCAGTGACACAAAGTGCCACCATGCTGACGAGGATCACCCCTGGAGAGGTCCCGAAAACCCTGTTCAGACGTTAAGCCAGATTTAATGCCGGCTATATTTAGGGCCCTCGGCAAAAGCCAGGGGGACATTTCAAAATAAAAAAAAATAACATCCCATATGGGGATGACGGGATTATGTAGGTTGTAGTAGCAGTAGTAGCAGATGATACCCCACTAGGACCTCACACTAGCGATAAACACCCGATGACACAAAGTGCCACCATGCGGATGAGGATCACCCGTGGAGAGGTCCCAGAAACCGCGTTCAGCCATTAGGCCATATTTATGGCTGGGCTAAATTGCGCCCCTGGCAAAAAGCCTGCATGGATCTTCAAAATAAGGAAAAATTGCATCCGCCAAGAAGGATGACTAGCTATATGTAATGGATAATATGTAGGTTGACTGATTGACTTTCTACCCCACCAGGACATCACACAAGCGATAAACACCCGATGACACAATGTGCCACCATGTGGGTGAGGATCACCCTGGAGAGGTCTCAGAAACCGCTGTTCGCCATTAGGCCATATTTATGGTTGGGCTATATTGCGGTCCCTGGCAAAAGCCAGAGTAGGGCTTCAAATAACGAAACATTTCATCCTAAAAAGGCCGGAAAATGTACTATGTAGGTTGTCCCCTTCTGATGTGAGCAATCAATTCTCTTCGTGGGTAAAATTTCTTTCAAGACATCTTCATTACTCTTTTTATATGTTCAGAATATTCTCATCATTCGCTTATAAAACCACATCTCTCTAGTTTCCAAATAATTGTTCCACTAATCCACCAACTGTCCACGATTCACTAACGTAAATCAAGATAGGATTTATATAGCGCCTCTCTAGTTGTGTATATGAAAATATTTCCATAGTCTCCCCTGTGTTTAAACCGTACCAACAGGTGGCGGGCATACCGCAGCTGATCCAAAATGGCGGAAATGCAGGTAAAATACCAAACAAATGACACATCCGAGTTGTTGTAGTTATACAAAAAATATTGTCTTTGTATTTTTTTAATTAAAAGTTTTTTATAAACATATTACACTCTTTGGTACACATTGTTACAATTCTTACATAGGAGTTATAGCCCGAAGAATGACTTTCATTACAGAAACTTAGCAACCATATTCATATTTAGCAGACAACTTTCTTTGGTAGGCGTTTTTCTTCGTAGTTCGCAACTGTTGCTCTGAGTCATTCTTGCCTAGAATATTACAAATATATGTAAAATTATACAAATAACGCATTCACTTCATGCCAGTAGATATTTTTAAAAAGATTCTCTCTTTAAGCATGTACTTTAGGATGCTTTCAAGTGAACTGTAAAAATATTGTTGCGTTTGTTCACATTTCCTTATATTTAGTTAACCCTTTTAGCACGGAGCATTTTTTCAGTGAATTTGGTTATTACTTGATTTAATTTTTTTGACAGATTTCTGTTATTCTGACCCCCATGAAATAATATATCTATTTGAAGAATATAGATTGAAGTTCGTGATTTTCACAATATCGTTAAAATTAATTGATGTATATGCAAATTATCTCATTTGCATATCTAAAAATAGAAAATATGAATTTGAATTTTCAACTTCAATGCTTGAAACATAAAACTAAAAACAAAAATTGTTTTTATTTGAAATCTTTTTATTGATCTTTGGCCTTTTTACAAATGTTGTAAGCTATTCAATAGTCAAAAACAGGTATATATATATGTGAAACAGCAATAATATCTTTAGGTGACATGTGTTTTTCACCATCAGTCAGCACTAGAAATGGATGTGCCGGAGTGTCAACACCTTCGGGTGGATATACCCTGAGCCATGGTTGGGCTGTGGTCTGAACACAACAGCGTCCCTATCTGATTTCCACTATTACTACTAACACTAAATCCTGCATCAGTATCAACAGAATTAGTGTCATCACTTGATTCAAATGTTTTATCAACATCAAGTTTAGGGGCAGAAACATATGAGTCAGACATACTTTTAGCGGTTCAGGTCACTATCTAAAAAATTCAACAACAATTTTCACTTCGATACCAAACACTCGAAAGTCACCATGTGTAAAGCTGATACCACAGTTAATATAAATGAATCACTTTCAGTGTTTCAAAGTAGGAGATATCTTAGCGGTTCGAGGCGAAACACGATCGGGCCGATCATCGGCCGTTCTGTGTTTTTGGCCAGACATCCGATGGCCGATAATCGGCCCGTCCGTGCTAAGAGGGTTAAATGTGCACAGGTATTATTTTGTATTATTTATTTTATTCACATTGGCCTGATTGGGATTACGAGCACTAAGATAGAAAACACAATATGATTGTCACAACTATTTAAAAATTACACTTATGATATGTTAACTGTCTATACTTCTACAATCTTGAACAGTTAGTACATAATCTAAGCTGTATTAAATAATACTTTTTAGCAGTCATAAATATGAAATATGTTGGCAAAATTTAGATTGATGACCCTAGGGGATGTGACTCTCCTCCGAACGGTGTCCTAATATTATTACGGCCATAAAATATCCTTACGGGGCTCAGTTCTATTAAAAATATGCCGGCTCTGTTTAACGAAACAAATGCTCTAACAGGGTCTCAGCGATATGTTACTTGCAGACCTGTTTCTGTGACTGTGCCTCACTGCTGACCGTATTCCCCGTGCCGCTACGCGCAAAGCGGATGGTGGCTAAACTAGATGGCTGGGACTCACGAGCAGCAGCTACCACATCTCCTGCAACTTCCTAAAATTAATTTGCTCGTGAGTCCCAGGCACCTAGTTTAGCCCCCCCCCCCATCCGCGACGCGTGTAGCGGCGCGGGGGATACGCTCGCGGTGAGTTTAATCGCGTTTTGCTCATGCAGAAAAGTGTGAGGATACAGGTCGGCAGGTCTGACATCTACCGCTGCTAAATCCTCAATTGAATGAACAGTATTGCTAATCTGTGTGGGAGCGCGTGGTCTACCTGCCATATCGCTTTTATCGTCTGTAATGTCTCAAAATTGTCAATGGTCGCTATTATCGTCTGCTAGTATCTGCAGAAACGCTCAAAATTGTCATGGGTCACTTTTATCGTCTGCTACTATCGTCTGCAGTGTTGCGTCTCTTGAAATTGTCAAGTAATCCTAGTTTTTGCCACGATTTGTTCCTTGGCAGAAAGTCCACATTTTACATATGCCTGAGCCCAGTAAGGATATTTTATGGCCGCCATAATATTAGGACGCCGTTTGGAGGAGAGCCGGGGATGCAATCTATTGTTTGTTAACAGTGAGTGAGTGAAGTTCAACCCCACCAGGACCGTACAACGTGCGACCAACATCCAGTGACACAAAATGTCACCATTCGGATGCGGATCACCCAGGCACAAGTCCCGGAAACCCCATTCAACCATTATTTTCTAATAGGACCATGGACAACAGCTGGGATGGGGCTCTGCTTTAAAATAACGAAAAATTGCTTCCAACATTGGGATGGGATTAGTTGGTTTACAGCAACCATAAGGGACCAATCCATTGTTTGTTTACTTTCACATAATAATTTTCTGTAATATTTAATATTGCTTCAGGTTAGGGTTTGTAGTTTAGGGTTAGGGTTTTTGTCAGGTTATAGTTAGGGCTAACCCACTCTATAACCCTAAACTAAAACCCTAATCTCAAACAATATTAAATATTAAATAATATCATAATGTGAACTTAAACAAACATTATATCTCCTGACCTTAAGTATTAGTAACTTAAGGTAGCCGTTTTCAGTTTTACCAATATTTTAAATATTGAAGTAGACAACAACTCTCTGTGTCCAAGTTCTTCTTCTTCTCACTGGCTATAAACTCTGGCAAAAAGTGATGGTTGTTCATTCACCACTGGACTTTTGTCTTGTTCCAGAACCTAAATGTTGCATGCAGGTCTGTTTAACATATCTCACTTATCTGTATCCAGACTGTTGGTTCCTTGCCTTGCAGGCAAATGCACTGCAATTTCAGTTTCATTCAATAAGTAAAGGACCTTTGTGCACACCTTCAGGCATATTGGGATTAAAGGGCTAGATCTATATTTTTATAGACCATTCAGCACTTGGTGGGTGATGTGGTCAGCATCACGCCGTCTGCCTTTACTTCCCAAGACTGCACCTGGTACCCACTCATGCTGGAAAAACAAAAAGTCCAGTTACCCCAGGACCCGAACCCACGACCTTCCAATCCGCAGCCGAGCATCTAGCCACTATGCCACAGCGACTCCCTTAATTCAGTCTATGCCAGTTATTAATTGAACTGTTAGTACCATGTCTGGGTTCTGTGGCCCGCTTGGTTGGGAGGGGAGGGGGGGTATAGACCCACTACCCTCACAAGCATGTCATAAAAGGCAACTGATTAGGAGTTAGCCTAACTCAGGTGTGCTGGCGCTTGGTCAAAAGAAGGCACAGAAATTACAACCTAGCTGTGTTCCACAACATAGTGTGCCAGCTACCCTTTTTAAGAAAAATTAAGAAGAAGAGCTGTTAGTATCCACTCAGAACTCAACTTTGTACTCTTTACTAACCAGTGGCATTATCCATCCAGGTTAACTTCTTGGTCCAGAGAAGCTGCTAATCTGGCATTGGCATGTCTTTAAATGCCGCCAGACCAGCTTTGCTGCACAAGCCAGTCCCTGACAAGCCTAGTTGAGGCAATGGTTGTGTTTCTACCCACAACATGTTTAGGAAGGCTAGAAATTATTATATTTATTAAAAACAGCATTGGGGGTATTTACTGTTAAAAAAAAGTGTTGTTGTTGGGGTCATTGTAACATCGTAATTCTCTTGTGGTCTTGATTATTGCATCTGAACACTCGCTTACAGATTCAAAGGTTGTGGATTCAAATCTGAACGGAACCTGACTTTGTTCTTCAAAGGTTGACCGAGACTTGAATGTGTACCAGGTAAAGACCTGGGAAGTAAAGATGGCTTGCATGATGTTGACCACATCACCACTAAGTGCCGATTGGTCTATAAAATGTAAGTCTAATGCGCCCGAAGGCATAGAAAAGGGTCCTTTACTTTTACTTCAGTGGTTGCATTTCAGGGTCATGTGATCACTGTATGTTTCACTGCACAAATTGTGTGGGTTGTAGGGAATGTAGCTGTTTGATTCTCCGCTGTGTTATCTCCTTCATGTACGTGTAGACAATTTATTTTTACATCGTTAAGAGTAAATTAACAAAACAAATTATTTATGACTTATCTAAAAATGATTTTTTTTTCAAGGATCCCTCTGTGGGGCATTGTCATGTTCAGGGCCTTGTTTCAAAGAGTTAAATTAAATAAAAATAAAAATATTTGTCATTTCAGGCAGCTTGTCTGTATGATTTTGAGGGTGATGAGCACAATGGAGAGCTGAGCTTTTCTGCTGGTGAAATTCTTCAGATTATCAATCAGGTCAGTTTTTTACAAAATTCATTATGGCTTATCTATTTTCTGTCTTTCTGTCTGGTTTATTTTTGACCTCATATGTATATTTTCTGTGTGCTCAAATCTGGCGAGGGGTTGAAAACCCATAACTCTTAGACCTTGTTATGGTGACCGGATCAAGTTAAAACATTGCACAGAGCAGCAGACCAGTAACAGTAGAGACAGCTAGTGAATGCCTAGTTTGTCAACAGCAATATAAAGAGGATACAGGTGGCCTGGAGGGCAGATGATGTGAGCTGCCCATCTTAGATGCAGAGGAAAGAAAAGATAGGACTACACAGTTGACAGAATAAAGGAATTAAAAGTTATAGTTCTTATGTTGTCTAGTATGTCCTTTTGTCACATGAAACAAAAGTTAAATTTTTGAGAAAAGTAATGAACATTAAATGGGATGAGATCAAGAAATGCAAGGAAATAATAGAAATTTTCTGACAACCACTGATATCAGAGGTTTAAAGACAATGAAGATGGCATTAATTTGGGTGCATCCTGAGAAGAGGCACTGATAGAATCAGAAGGATTGAGGAAATGAGGAGTTGCAAGATGAACATTGGTGAGAGGGCCAAAAGAGTTAGATTGGATACCAACCATAATGTTGTAAAGATTTGCTCGGGATAGAACAGAATGGAAGAATAGACTGTGAGCCTTATGTGACATACTCTTATAATGGCATGACAGGATGATGATGTCCTCTTTTATGTACCTTTTTTCTTTTGCATCCTTGAGTGCCAAATCAGTTTGTTCTCCATTCTTTATTATGGTCTCAAATGTTCCTAGAGATTGTTTTCTATTGACTGGTTTATTTATAAATTTAGAGAGGACAATCTGCATAATGCACGTCACACTTAACCGCTGGTGCGATACACCAGAAACATGAATTCACAGACCATGATAGAACTGCATTCATACAATAACAGTGACAGTGTTTATCTTTAACAATGACAGTTTACATACGTCATGGTTTGTAAACCCCAATTGTTCAGACGTAAATAAGTACGTACTTTGTCCTAAGCTTGCATAGATGTATGCGCTCACCATTTGTTTATGTATTCACCTTTATATGGGAAACTTGTGGTTTGCGTTTGACTTTTTCTCAGCCTTTTAATTCCCCACCTAGCTTTGTGTTTAAATTCTCCATCCACCTGTATGTTTTAATTCATCACCCACTCTGTGAAGTCTTTAAAGAGAAGCAAAGAGGAGTAATCACTGTAATCTGCCCTGCATCTAGGGAACACAGAGAGAATGAATTTACCATTGTGATATGGAACACAGAGAGAATGAATTTACCAATGTGATATGGAACATAGAGAGAATGAATTCACCATTGTGATATGGAACATAGAGAGAATGAATTCACCATTGTGATATGGAACATAGAGAGAATGAATTCACCATTGTGATATGGAACATAGAGAGAATGAATTCACCATTGTGATATGGAACATAGAGAGAATGAATTCACCATTGTGATATGGAACATAGAGAGAATAAATTTACCATTGTGATATGGAACATAGAGAGAATGAATTTACCATTGTGATATGGAACACAGAGAGAATGAATTTACCATTGTGATATGGAACACAGAGAGAATGAATTTACCATTGTGATATGGAACATAGAGAGAATGAATTCACCATTGTGATATGGAACATAGAGAGAATGAATTCACCATTGTGATATGGAACATAGAGAGAATGAATTCACCATTGTGATATGGAACATAGAGAGAATGAATTCACCATTGTGATATGGAACATAGAGAGAATGAATTCACCATTGTGATATGGAACATAGAATGAATTTACCATTGTGATATGGAACACAGAGAGAATGAATTTACCATTGTGATATGGAACACAGAGAGATTGAATTTACCATTGTGATATGGAACACAGAGAGAATGAATTTACCATTGTGATATGGAACACAGAGAGAATGAATTTACCATTGTGATATGGAACACAGAGAGATTGAAGTTACCATTGTGGTAGGGAACAAAGAAGGAACGAAGTTGTCATTGTGGTAGGGAACACAGAGAGAATGAAGCTACCATTGTGGTAAGGAACACAGAGGGAATGAAGCTACCATTGTGGTAAGGAACACAGAGGGAATGAAGCTACCATTGTGGTAGGGAACAAAGAAGGAATGAAGTTGTCATTGTGGTAGGGAACACAGAGAGAATGAAGCTACCATTGTGGTAGGGAACAAAGAAGGAAGGAAGTTGTCATTGTGGTAGGGAACACAGAAAGAATGAAGCTACCATTGTGGTAGGGAACACAGAGGGAATGAAGCTACCATTGTGGTAGGGAACAAAGAAGGAACGAAGTTGTCATTGTGGTAGGGAACACAGAGGGAATGAAGTTACCATTGTGGCAGGGAGCACAGAGAGAATGAAGCTACCATTGTGGTAGGGAACACAGAGGGAATGAAGCTACCATTTTGGTAGGGACCACAGAGGGAATGAAGTTACTATTGTGGTAGGGACCACAGAGGGAATGTTGAAGTTACCATTGTGGTACGGAGCACAGAGAGAATGAAGTTACCATTGTGGTACGGAGCACAGAGAGAATGGTTACCATTGAAATAGAAATTTTTTTTTTAATACACTCTGGAAAAAAACATTCAATAAGAAGATAACACAGCATTTTGTTTTTGACATAGGGGAAAATATAGCATGTGTTATTTGAGGCTGAAAAAAGTACATATAACATTTTGCTTTTATCTGTAGCTGTTATTAAAATATAGAAAATGTACATACAGTAAAACTCCGATTAACAGTCACTCATTTAACTGTCAGTTTCTGTTATCGTCATCGTCTTTAAAAAAAAATGATGATGATGAAGGATCAGTTCTTAACACAAAAACCTACAACTAGCTACTCAGAAAAAGAGTGAATGTTATGAAAGTGCATTGACTGGTTTGAAATGCAAGAAGAGGCATATGCAACACAGATCCTACTTCTGCGTAAGATACGAAACAAAAATCTCGAGCCTCAAAGACACTAAAGGAGATGACAGATTATTGTAAAGTAATGTAGGTTTATAGTTTAATAATCATTTCTGTACATTACTACTTAATCACAGTCGTCCCCATGTGGAGTGCAATTTTTGTGTTTGAAGCCCCACCCTGGCTTCTGCAGGGGGCCCTCAATATAGCCGGGGCATATATATGGCCTAGCCATAGATATGGCCTAACAGATTTACAGATTGACTTATTTATATGCAGACTGGTGGTCATTTGCCTCTCAGGTAACTCATTCAGTAGTGTCCTGTGGGGAGTTAAAATGACTGGCTTAGTCTTTCCTGGATAATTGATCATGTAGACTGTTTTTGCAGGTTTAGTTATCCCTTTCTCACCAACATTTTGATTCAATTACAGGATGTAGGGGAGGGCTGGTGGGAGGCTCGAAACAAAGCTGGAAAACATGGTCTTATTCCCGAGACATATGTAGAGGTAAGAACTATTTGATGCCTTTTATTTTATGTTGCATGTGTAAAATATCACTGTATTCCTGGTGGCCCATGCTATAAAAGTTGTTGGAATGTAGTTTTATCTGTGAACATCATTTTCCTCATTAACTTGTTTATTAAAGTTCAGCACGTGGCTGCACAAATTATATGGAAATAATCAAAATACAAAAGATTATGGAAAATATAAAAAACAGAATGAAATTTGAAAACATAACACATACAGTGTGAAATTTGAAAACATAACACATACAGTGTGAAATTTGAAGGAAATAAAAATAGATTACTGTGAAGCTAGAGACGTGATGAGTGAAATATAAAAACAGGAAATCTTAAATTTAAAAAAAAAACTGATGTGTAAAAATATTAAAACGGCAATCACCAAATATGAAAGTCTGGCAGGCAGTCAACATTCTGAGAACAGGCAAGACAGACATACAAAAAGACTGCATCTGGGACTATCAGTATTGAAACACTGAACTGGCTGCTGATTTGTGGAATGAGCACTTATGGGAGCATACTGAATGCTGTGATATCAGTTCTTAACTCCACCCATGGTGTAGCCTAATGTTGATATGCTTTTTCTCTCACTTGTTATTCAATCTCCAACCGATACAGCATGCAGTGTTTCCCAAAATCATGTTAAATTTTGTCCCAGGGAATGCTGGTGTAAAAGGCAATGAGAGAGCAGATGCTGTGGCTGGCAGTGCGACTTTTAGGACAGAAGAGACATCATCCGTATCATACGAGAGACTCAGCGCTGTGAAGCTTTCAGTTTTGTGAAAAATTATTTTTCACTGAATAGACTGCATACCCTGGGTATACCAATTGGAGTGGCGAGACAGGAAAACCATGCGGGAGCCACCCGTTGTTACATCAACCAGAACTGAATGGGAGTTGTTAGCCCTAAAAACACTTGGAGACACACTCAGGAGGAGATCGGAGCACTTATGGTCATGTCTGATGTGCGATGTAGAGGATCTACAAAATGAACAATGGTATTCAATCTGAGCATGCTATAATGTATTAGTAATTTTCCTGTGCTTGCTCCAAGTAAAGAATGGTTCCTGAAAAATCAGAAGTTCATGATCATATTGTAAAGTAATGGGCATTCATGACAAAGTAGGTTTAACTCATTCAGTCCCAAGCCTGGAAGTCTCTGTGATGCCCTGAAGATCATGGGTTCGTTTCATGGTGGCCATGTTCAGTTCACGAATGCAGTTTTTACAGAGATCCCTGGGGATCGTCCCCGTAGCTAAAGAGGTCGTGCTCTGTGTGAAGCTCTCGGCAGACAGCTACCTGTTCTGCAGAGAGACACTGAGCCATATTGGATAAAACCTGGTGCAATGAAGCCGGTCCTCTTACCTTTACCTTTACTTTAACTCCTTCCACCCTCACAGTTTGGCTTAAAAGCAGTACATAATTTCGCCTCAAGTAGTTCAGCAGAGACACCAGGATATATAAGGAGTTCAACTAGTCATCTAGGCAATACAGATTGATATAACATTGTTTTGTGACAGAAAAAAGCTGGCAAATTTATGACGTATGTTTGTGATTGAAAGAGTTGAGAGGTTTGCTGTGAAAGTTGTACCAGGGTTTGATTTCTTTGGCAGACCTGTTGTTGTTTTTTTTTTTTTTTTTTTCAGAAACATGAAAAGAAATAATCATAAATATAAGGGGAGCAAAGAATTAACTGATTTGCTACCCTTTGACCACAAAAACAGTGGTTTTGTTAAAAATATCTTATGGGGCAAAGTGACATCGATATGATGTCATGATGGCATTACAACCCCTACCCCCCCCCCCCCCCCAACACACACACACACACACACACACACACACACACAGACGCACGTACACACACATAAACACACAGAGAGACAGAGAGATCAGTTTTATTCACCCTGATTAATATCTCATAGTTTTGTTTAGTAAACATAGTCACACTCTCCATATCTACACATTTTGCAGTTGCAGCCAGTACTTAAACTGTTATACACACCCAAAGACATCCTGTCATTTAAAAAAAAAAAAACTCTGCAAATGCTGGGTAAAGGACGCTTGTGGGTTGACTGTTACATGTATTAGAAACCTTTTTAACACTAGCATTTATGTGGGCCATATGGCGAGAGACCCAGTGTCTTTCAGGCAGGCTGAGGCGAGAGCCATGTTCTGCAAAGGACATGCTATATGATGATTATGATAATGCCATTTTGAAAACAGTTTTGGAACTGTTCTATCAGAAAGAAAAGAATATTCTTGACAGAATGAATGTTTATGTATTATCCTACATGTAATGAGGAAAGGTTGATTTAAGAATGATGATATCAAGAAGAAAGTGTGCACAGAACCAGACTGTTTTAGCCAGGTAACAAGATTGGCAACAGACAGTGCACCACAGAAAGTAGGGTTATAAAGATACAACAGTAAGAGACCCAGAGGTAAACCACACAGAACATGGACCGCAGAAATAACAGTGATACTGAAAAGTACTACACTCGAAGGGAACAGAATGGCCCATTCCAGAGATCTCTTCCTGTCCTGATGGAATGAAACATATTCAAGGAGCAGAGAAAAGAATGATAGCATTTTATTATTAATTTTACAGTATACTATAATAGTAAAGAATTTGTCTCACATATCACATTCTACCATTGATTCCACACCTAGATTGTCCAAGCTCCTGAACCAGCTTTCCCACCGCCCCCACCCCCCATGGTTGGGACTGTTCCATCCGCCCCACCCATGTTCTCCAACAATGGCTATGCCAGCTCCCCGCCGGACAATGTACCTAGCAGCTTTAATCACCAGCAGAGTGCCGATGATTGGGAGGATGACTGGGATGATGATGATGGCGATTCAAGCACTAGTACCGGTCACAGCCAGGTATGTTTAATGTTGTGCTTGTTGTTGAGTGTCCTAGGTTCGAAACACCTTCAAGGTGTATTTTTGTTTAAAAGGATCTGCGCTCTCTTGTTGATCCAGTGCAGAAAATGGGTACCAGAAAATGCACTGGGGAATAAAGGTACTTAGCATGATAATAACCCCCCCAACATCACTCTTAAAGTACCAGTTGGTCATATTATTCAGCCATATAATGAGAAGAAGGAAAGAAGGAAACATTGTAATAACTGGAAAGATTAATAAGAAAAGGGAGCTTAGAAGACAGCAGAAGTGAATTCTTGACAGCTTTTCATCATTCATTCATTATCTTGTTCAGATGCCAAAGGTGTCACATAATGCTCAGTCTATTTTTCCATTCTGTTTTATCCTCTGCTATAACTTTGATATCATTTATAGAATTCTGCCCAGCACCTTTGGCCTCTGATTATTATTCACTCTAGGGTTTCATTTGGATGTCCTCATTTCTTCTCAGAATGTGACCAGTAGTGCATCATCTTCTCTGTCTTATCAGTGTTATTACTGGTAGTTTCCCAGACATTTCTCTTATTTCTTAATTGAAATAACATAATGATTGAAAATATGTGACTTTGTTCTACAACTATACAGTCTAGAATTTCATATTTTGTTCATGTTTCTAAAAGCTGTTGATGCCTTGCCAATATGTGCCATCATTTCTTTCTTTGTTTCCCTGACAGTCAAGATTATTACCTAAATAGGTAAATTATTCTGTTACTTTGTTTTGTCTGTAATGTAACATCTGCTTGATCCGTTATTGGTGTCTTCAATATATGTGTCTTATTTGCAGCCCAACTGTTATTGCTGTTTTTGCTAAATCTGTTTTTCTGTGCCTAGCATTGCTGTTTTTGCTCAATCTGTTTTTCTGTGCCTAGCATTGCTGTTTTTGCTCAATCTGTTTTTCTGTGCCTAGCATTGCTGTTTTTGCTCAATCTGTTTTTCTGTGCCTAGCATTGCTGTTTTTGCTCAATCTGTTTTTCTGTGCCTAGCATTGCTGTTTTTGCTCAATCTGTTTTTCTGTGCCTAGCATTGCTGTTTTTGCTCAATCAATCTGTTTTTCTGTGCCTAGCATTGCTGTTTTTGCTCAATCTGTTTTTCTGTGCCTAGCATTGCTGTTTTTGCTCAATCTGTTTTTCTGTGCCTAGCATTGCTGTTTTTGCTCAATCTGTTTTTCTGTGCCTAGCATTGCTGTTATTACACAGCAAAACAATATAATCTGCAAAATCGGGATCTTCCAATTGTGGATTCTTCACCCAGCCAGTATTGAGCTTTTCTTTTTCATTATGGCAAGGGCAAATAGAACCAATCAATACCTATGGCTGTATGTTACCATAGCCTGTAAGTGAAGCAGAGAATAATTATACTGTAATCTGCCATGCAGGATTTAAGAGGTTTTTAAGGAAGGTTGGCATAAGTCTGACTACCTCACCCTGAAGAATCTTTTACCTGCAAAATCTTAGAGACGATTTACAAGATTTAGCATGGATTGGTTAATGGCCTTTGCTTCATTTGGAGAGGAAATATAGAAGAATAGGGATAGAGACTGTATGTTGCAAGATTTGGCAAGCATAACTGCTCACACAAGTTAGCAGTGGATATTTGTGATGATAATTATAATACTTATAAAACTGAAGATTGGGTAGTAGTGCATGAAGTTCTAGAAATTGATATTCGTGTTCTGTTTACTTTTTGTGCACAAAAGCTTAATTAATAACACACACCTTTGCCCCAAACAAGGAATTTACTGGTACCGCCAGCACAGCTCCAGGGCCCTCCAAACGAGAAGCAAAGCAAATTTCTCCAGGCAGTGAGTTATCCAAATATGGTACAGTGAAAAGCAGTTTTAATAGGTAAGGTTATACGCAATATATATATATTTAAAAAAACTATATATATATATATATATATATATATTTTTTTTTTTAAAGAATATGTTGAAAAGGGTAATGTGAGTACATTTCATTGGGTCTAGGAGGAAAAGCCCAGTGACCGAGTTCATTTATGCGCAACGCAACATTTTCATATACAAATGATCAAACATATGTGTTCTAGTAAATATAGAATTGACACGCAAAAGTACCACATCAGAAGGGGGAAACTAGATTATGCTGTAACGGCAGAAAGGTCAGAGGGAGTAGAGCACAGCGAGGGTATTAGACATTTTGGCATCCTAGCTTAAAAGAATCTGTATCCGAAATAATAGGAGGTTCAAGAGATAGCAGCAGGCTGTGGACAGACATGGTGAACAGTGCCGTACATTGTGGACAATAAGAAGGAAAGGGAAGAATTTGACTTTATGTTCAATATCTGCAGTTTAGCATCCTGTCCCAAAAGTTGGGATATTCTGTCCCTGTTAAACATCATGGTGGCCTGGTTAAACATCATGGTGGCCTGGTTAAACATCATGGTGGCCTGGTTAAACATCATGGTGGCCTGGTTAAACATCATGGTGGCCTGGTTAAACATCATGGTGGCCTGGTTAAACATCATGGTGGCCTGGTTAAACATCATGGTGGCCTGGTTAAACATCATGGTGGCCTGGTTAAACATCATGGTGGCCTGGATAGAACGGTATTCTCCAGGAACGGTATTCTTACAGTTTCCAGAACTTGAGGCAGAGGCACACTCCTTCCAAGGCGGATACAAGACATTGAAGAAGCATTGGCTATGAAAGCACATAAGACTGGAGAATTGGCTAGAGAAAGAGAGACTTTCAGATGTGGCCAGAAGGACATTCTGTGAAAAACCTACTGATGGATGATGTTCAGAATGTGAAGATTTACCAGCAGATGTCTAAAGGTGATGATGTGATTACACAAGCTTTCGTGTGGCTGAAATCACAGGGCTGTTCCTACATTTGTGAGTGTGTGTGTGTGGGGCACAATTGCACGCTGAATGATTCTATGAGCATGATCTGGTGTGTTAAGTAGTCTCTGTACATAGACAGTGGCTTGAATTATTGCAAAACTACAGTGTGTGTTAAGTTACCTTTTTTTTCATCCCGGGGAATTAGGGCGTTGTTTTCAGTGAAAGAGCTTGTAGTTTGGTCAGTTCTGCCTAAATTGATGAGATGGCTGTCCTGTGTATCACACCGACATGTTAATGCTTTTGGAGGGATAGAACAGTTGGTGGATTTGGGGGGGGGGGGGGGGGGAGGGTGCAGCACATCTACATCGCTGCTAAGAATGCAAGAATTTAGAATTAAGATGGGCACAGCCAGACATGAGAGGCACACCGAACCTACAAGAAGTCTTGCCAGCCAGTAGGAGACTGGCACAAACTATTATACACGGGGCTCTGATGTATATGTTAAAGGGAGAATCTAAGCACCTAAGAACGTATCTTGAGCTCCCCAAAGATAATCCAGCTTTTAGCTCATAACCACCATGGAAAAGTTACAATTTACATGCACTGAGGAAACGAATAACTGCTCTGTATTTTGTATGTGGCCAGACTTTCTTCGGTATGCTCAGACCAAATATAAATGATGTGTTAGCACACTGTGCATTGCTTGATACCCATGGACAGTAGACAATCATACATAGTGGGCTGCATGAGGCAGAGGGAGTTGAATGAATGCACTTTGGTGAATCTCAGAAACTCAGAGGCACTCAGTTGCACTGATTTAGTATAAAATGTTTATATGTTTATTATTTCGATGGCAGGCTTGTGTTTATGCCAGTGTCACTATTTTCATGTGGCAGTTCTATATTCTGTTATTGATAGTATCCTTATGAGGAGGGGTATTGTGGGTTTTTAGAATAGTGTTGAGAATATGAACAGAAAAGAAAACAAATGTTGAAGTGAGCATTACTAGACACCTGGTCAAAGCAGTACTGTCTTTTTTTTCTCTCTCACTACCTTTCTCCAACCATCTCTGTCACACATGTACACACTGCCTTTCTCCAGTGATCTCTTTCTCTGTCTCTCTCTCTTTCTTTCTCTCTCTCTCTCTGCCTTTCTCCAACCATCTCTCTGTCCCTTACTACCTTTACCCAACCATCTTTGTCTGTCTGTCTCTCTCTCACTGCCTTTCTCAAACCATCAGTTTTTTTCCTCTCTCTTGCTGTTCCCTCTCTACTTTATCTTTTAACATCTTCTTATCCACCCACCCATCTCTCCCTCTGACTTTTCTCTGCTTCCATTATAATAGGGATAAAGAGTATTTGATGAAAACAGAAAAGAAAATGTTCACCAGCTGTGTAGCAGTTTTTGTACAGAACAATCTAACATGAAATGTGCAGTAAAGTTCCTAGCTATTATTTGTATCATTGTCTTGCTTGCCTCACTATAAGTGTTCTTCTTCATTCATGTTCATCCACTGTAAACTGTGGAGTGAGATTCTGGTGGTTCATCCACTTCTGGAATTTGGTTTTGTTCCAGAACGTGAATATTGCGTGCACATCCATATTACAGATCTGGCTTATTTGCACATCAGACTTTTGGTTCCGCACCTCTCAGGCAGATGCACTCTGACTTTTAAGGCAACCTTCCTGTTTAATCTACATCTTACGATGTGCTTGTTAGAGAGCAGTGGGTCTATCGCTCCCCGCCCCAATGGGGCTTGAAAGCCAACACCAGGAATTATAAGCATTGATTGTGAAAAAATGTCCCTCCTCACCCACATGCATATTCATCTGTTGATCATTTTGTCAGGTCATTATTTTACTGTCAAGATGCATTTTTTTAATTTCAGATTTTCGCAGTTTGCCAAGTCTGGTGGTGAGGCATTTCTCATGGGCCAGACCAACGACAAGGTACCAGAATGTGAGAAAATCAAAATCATCGTAAGTATAAATAAATAAATCAGTTTGTCAGTCAGTTATGTCTCAGAGCCCTCTGAAGAATATGGGTCATAATCTGGGTGAAAACCTGGTGATGATGATGATAGTAATTTCTCTGATATGAAAAGTGATTATTCATGGAAGCAAGAACAATTAAATGCTGAAGCTCTGAAAAGATTGGCAATAAACAGAGTTGCTGAGAGCAATAAAAAAAGGGACGATTTAGATATTTCAGCCACATTAAAAGACAACACTCTTTTAAGAATTATTTTGGAAGGAAAAGTTGAAGGCAGAGGAGCCAAGAGGTAGACAATGATGCAACTGGGAGGAGAACATCAAGAGATGGACAGAAAATTGAGTGTGCTACCAAGAGAAAAGACAGTGTGTTGGAGATTCATGGCCGCCAACCTTCACTGTGGACACGGCCCTTGATAGGGGGAATTATACCTTGAAGATACTTTTTAGGCATAATGTTTTTTTAAGTGTGGTGTCTACCTGAATTGAGACCTATAATAGATAAGGTTTTAAATTCATAGCAGTGGGCTCTACCCATATGGCTTGATATGTCTCCACACAGTGGCTAGCCATCTGCCGAGAGTGTTGCAGAAAAAGCGTGGACTCTGGGGCATAGCGTTTCTGAAGTGTGGTATCTACCTGAGTTGAGATCTCAGGTTGTAAAGTCATTACACTGGGCTTTACCCATACGGCTTTGTCTATCTCCACAGAATGACTAACCACCTGCCAAGAGCATTGCAAAAAGCATGAACTCTGCCCCAGGATCTCTATAAACATTGCACACTCATGAACTGCATGACAGTCTGTGAGATGAACCAGTGACCTTAAGAGCATGAGGCAGATGGCTAAACCACCTAACCGTGAAACTCCACCAGTAATTACCTGTAACAATTAGAGGCTGTGAGGGGTGTTATTTGGTCTTTTGGTCCAATGAATAAATTGTTGATTTAACTAGGAAAATAAGTGCACAAACATGCTTAGTTCATATACTTTGTTTTATTTTTGAATGTTGAATAAAGAATTGACATCACAGCACTCACAACATTCCTATGAGTGCTCTGTCCCCCATCTCTAGTGGCTGGCGCAGAGTTCCAATTCTGACATCACAGCAACAGTCTAGATTTCTGTTTCTCTTGCCTTCCCCTGGAGAGTTGAGCCCTGGTTAGATCCCCTGATCACTCCTAGCAGCACTATTCTCTCAGACCGTAATGATATATTTGTGTCTCCTCCCTGCTGTTCACTTGCTGCCAAAGACCCCTTACAACATTTAACTTGTCATACATCAGTTCACCCCTGCCGACTACATTACCCATTCAGTGCCGATTGGTCTACAAATATGGGACTCTCTGCCCATATACCCGATGCGCCTTAGGCGTAATAAGGGATCTTTACTTTACTTTTACTACATCAGTTCACCACCAAATGGTGCAGAACCAGCTGCTCTATCTGCCTGCTGATTTTATAACACACCGGCATTAATGGAGAAAATATCTAAAGGACCTTTATTACCCAGGACCTCTGAAGCGATACTTGCCACTCTGCACAGAGCATACCAGTCTCCCTTTCCTAACATGCTCTTTGAGTCAGTGAAAGTTGTGATATGTGTGTTATTTTTGTTTAAAACTGTTTTATTTTTTATTTTTTATTGATACATTTTTTTACCAATCTTCTATGTTTCATAAGCAGGATTCAGTGGATGGTCCAATGTGGTTAAAGCAGGACAGTGCTTACACATGCATTGTTGCAGATCCCAAGAAGGACAGCAAGATGAAAGGGCTGAAAAGCTTTGTGACCTATCAGTTGACACCATCTGTAAGTTACTTCCCGTAGTTAATAGTTCTTTTGTTGGGAGTCAGAGAAGGGTTGTGATCCCAGTGTTGTAATTTTGTAATCTTGAGCATTTCTTTGTTTGGAGTTCAGGTGGGGGAATATGATGTGAATGCTCTATCTGTGTGATATTAAATAGTGTTAAAGGAGGAGGTCTAAGTTAACCATTTCAAGCAGTTATCCCTGAATGTCTGTGTAATTTGCTGGTTCTGCTGCTTGGTAAGTAGGTGGAAATTTGTTTCTGTTTAGGGCAACAACAACAACAACAAATGTAAATTATTGTTTCCTTTTTAAAGGGGTCCATGATATTTATCAAAAACCCCTCTCCTGTGGAATGCAGCTCCTTTTTGTGATTCCAATTGTTACGAAAAATTAATTACGTGACATTAGGAGGTAAGATGATCCCGCAAGTCTTAGCTAATTGCAAGCCCCTGACATAGACGGTTACTTGTATCACCTGGATTGTACAGATGAAGTGTAACCTGTTAAACAGGTTGCATTGCTTAACTGAGAAAGGGTATCATCATGCTTTCGTAATACTGCATGTCTTTGGGTCACCAGTTGCTGTGGGGGGACTATTTAATCAGCTCCCTCCAGAAAGAATCTCTCTTATCATGATTAAAAATTATAGTCAGAGTGCTGGACTTATTTTGTTTGGTGTTAATATTTCCTTTCTGAACAGTTCAGCAGTAGCACAAGCTTTATAACTGGCTGCTTGAGAAAGAAAGTTTATTTAGATCTTCTTCTTCTTCTTCTCTTCCACCTTGTGCCTCAGCGAAGTTTCTGTAAGGCTGTTCTTTATGCCATCAACTCCATGTTTTACAATGTCTTCTCCTCCCTCTATACACGTTGTAACGTTTCAGTGTGGCTCGCTGTCTGTAGATAGTTACGGGGCATTCTTGTTAGATGTTCAAACCACTTCATTTGTTATTCTTTAATAACATTTAAAACTGACTCTATTCTTAGCATTCGTTTGATTTCATGATTTCGTATTCTGCCTTTTCTTGAAACTCCTGCAGCTCTTCTAAGTTTATATAGATAAAATGTGAAAATAATATTCAAAATGCAAAAAGAATTTTTTTTTTTACTTTATTATTATTCTTTTGTCAATATCTGCTTTATGCTGCTAGGCGAGACAGTTTAACCGAAGATAGGTAGCAGAGTCAGTGTGTGCTCTGTTGCTTGGTATGCTGTGATGTTGTGAAGTCTTACGCTGTCGGTGACTCCTTCAGTCCATCTTTTAAGTCTCCCTGTGTCTCTTGGTATTTCTGTTTTCATGTCGGCATTGTTGGGTTCATTCTCACTAGGTGCCAAAATCATTTGTAGTTTTTGTTTCATTATAAATTTATTGATGATGATTGTTCCAGTGATTCTTCTAGTCTCTTTATTCCAATAGATTTTTTTTTTTAAATCTGTTTATTTGTCATGTAATCTCTTCTTATTTCTTATTCTGTACAGTTCAGCAATATCAAAGTGAGTCGGAGGTACAAGCATTTCGACTGGCTGCACGGGAGACTTGAGTACAAATTTGCCTGTATACCGATTCCTCCACTACCGGACAAAGCTGTTACAGGTGAGACACGATACCATTTTCAAATGAAGGTTTACCTTTTTAGTTTTGGAGGCTGCAATGTTTGCAATGTTTTTGCCTCGAAAAGACTTGAATCTGGCAAATCCGGCAATGGTTCTTCAATTTCTTCAATGTCTAGAACTGTTCATTTTGCTCTGTTGTTGATGAATCTCTGCCAGATGGAGACAATAGTCTTGATATTGTGATTGGTATGTATGTGACAAACCTATTGGCGATAATTTAGTTTAGGATATGAAAGTTGAACAAAATATTTCAATCGGATCAGTGTTTCGATCAGCTTTTTCCGAATTATTTTGGTTGTTGTGAAATTTGACATGTTATACAAAAATTATCATAACATCCAAAGTATTTAAATTAATTGTTTCAAATAAATGCTAGCTGATACATTATTGAACAGAGAAGGCATGTGCATTCTTAGAATTTGATAGCAATGTTGCTGAACAAGTAAAAAAAGTAAGGTAAGCACACAATTTGTTATGTAAAAAATCTTCATAGTGTCTGACATCCTTGAATGTTGTGTGATTTTAATAATATTTTGTTGTAATACTGACACTTAAATAGTTTAGATTTGTTCTGCACTCATTTATCTTTAATTTGATATGTGTCCCGACACAGCCAATACTTTTTCTTCAGGAAGGTTTTAGCTTTGTTGTATTGCAATAAAAAAATTCTGCTCATAATTAATGTTCTCCAAACTCCAGAAAAAATTTGCTCCTGAAAGAGTTAATCTAATTTATGAATATTCTTACTACCAGTTCTAATAAAGCAAAACATAATTTACTAGTCAGTGTTTCCTGATGTTTCATCTCTTGATTTTCTTTTGTTCATGACTACGGCAGGTAGATATGAGGAGGAGTTTATTCAGGAGAGAATGCGCCAGCTCCAAGGCTGGATTAACAGAATGGTTCAACATCCGGTTATATCTAGGAGTGATGTCTTTCAACATTTTCTTACCTGTACAGATGATAAGGTAAGCGCTCAGATTGTGTAGTTCCTGTGTTTCTGTAATCAATCAATCGGGTGCCGTCTCCACAGTGAAGGTTGGCCGAAGTTGACCTCCAACACGCTCTGTATCTTATCTTGGTTGTACACTCTCTCAGACTTGAGTTATGAGTTAGATTTTCTTCACAGCACTCCGGACACATCCATAGGCGCTCAGATTACCCTCTCAGCATATTCATCAGCGTTGTGCGATTAATAGTACCAGTCCTATGTTGGATAACAAGACTCCATGTGCTTCCAGTGTGCTACTCATGCTTGGCTGCGCTGATCTTTACTCCCAATTTGCGTATTCTTAGCAGTGATGTGGACACATTGCTTCCAAAATCCTCAGAACGCCCTATCTCTCTGAGGACAATGACAATGTCTGCATGATCCATGGCACGGCCATCTTCAATTGATGCATCACCTGCCAGTCTGTCAGCTCTCTCATACCAACAACGCCTGCATGCCCTGGGACAAATATGAAAGTAACTGTACACACAGAAGAATTTTGCAACGACTCAAACCACTGTCTGCGTAACCAGCCTGCCTCGACCCGCCGGATCATGCTAACAAAAATCACTCAGCATACACATGCTGGAATAGTCCTGTGATCCCAGCCACATGAAAGCCTGTGTCACCGTCATCACCTCCATCGTCATGCTGGTGGTGGTTATGGAGAAGGCACCGCTGGCTTCCTTGACTGTTCTGTCTGAAGAGCGAGCTGTAAAGGCCCATGCACTCTTATGTCCTCATATAACAGACCCGTCATTGAAGATCACCACATCTGTGTCATCTTTTTTCATCTCTTAGACTTATATTCCTGTGGTGCGGTGAATTATGTCACAGGCGTGAGGGGAAGTTAAGTCCAACATGATGTGTATAAGGAGATACTCCGTACGTCACTCGGGCGCCAGTCCTTTAATATCCTGGTTGAACGGAACCTCACGCAAGACCCCGGCAGCACGTCCTCGTCGTGCGCCACGGATAATGTCTCAAATGAGCATTAACAGAGCTGCCAGGGGATCTCGGAGTTTGGCGGCCCCCAGAGGTGATGTGTCCTTGTGGCTCTCATCAGCCCGCCCCCAAACGCTTGGGTGAAAAAATTGTTAACAAAACTCATTAGGAACATGAGTAGGTCTGCCAAACGTACAGCCAAAATTACAACCCTTGGTTAAAAGACTGCGGAATAAAGAGAACATTGTTCACTGCACATCCTCTGTTAACCCTCAGTGTCGTCGTCACCGCGCTGGGGTACACCACAACAGAAACCATCCATGGGCTGGCCATTCATGTACATCCTCGGTTAACCCTCAGTGTCGTCGTCACCGCGCTGGGGTACACCACAACAGCAACCATCCATAGGCTGGCCATTCATGTACATCCTTGGTTAACCCTCAGTGTCGTCGTCACCGCGCTGGGATACACCACAACAGCAACTATCCATAGGCTGGCCATTCATGTCCTTGGTAAACCCTCAGTGTCGTCGTCACCGCGCTGTGGTACACCACAACAGCAACCATCCATCGATCGGATGGCTAAGCCTAAATTTCCGACAAAACTAGATCATACGGAGCAAAATCTGACCTCAAAATTTGAATTGAACTGAAAAAGACCGAATATCCACACCCAAAGACACCACTCAAAACTGATAACGATATGCCTGATGCAGGATGTAAAATCTGTCGGGCTAACGGCTCGTCAAAGAAATCTAACGTGCGAAGGAAAAAAAAGAATGTACCTATCTGTGTGGTTACAAAAGTCCAAAACCCGAGGGATGCTCCCCGCTGACCCCCAGAGGGCGCAGCCCCTGTCGAGCGGGAGGCCTGATACGGTTGTGAGGTTAAGCAGGCTTGTGCAGGACGTGACGATTCCTTGGGTGAGCCCAGAAACAGAGCGCCATGTGTCGGCTCTGCATACATGGATGCCTCCTTGGATGGCGGGGAATGCCCAAGATCTGCCCCTGCCTTCCCTTGAGGGCTAACTGTTCCACAGGGGGCCGACCCAAAGGGGTACTCCGGGGGCAATACCTGCGGCAAAGGAGACGAAGTGGACACCACACAAATCAGGCAACGTCTCGACCCACACAAAACAATGGCCACAGTCACCCTAGAAATAGGCCTGACGTCTTCCTTCGAAGTCGGCGTACAGCTGCCCATGAGGCAGGGAAATAAAAAACGGTTGTACACGCAAAAATCAGGTCCAGGTGAAAGCCAAAAGTCCAAGCGGATGATTACCTGACCTTCCACTGGAATTCACAGCCGGTGTTCGATGAAAAAAAAACTTATATTCCTCCATCTCTTGATGTTGTTCTGCCAGTAATGTGTGTTGTCTACCTCTTGCTCACTTGCCATCAACTTTTCCCTCCAGTATAATTTTAATAAAGTGTTGTCTTTTAATGTCGCCAAAATATTTCATTCGTCTCCCTTCGTTTTTTTTTTCTTTTTAAATTTCTTTCAGTAATTCTTTTTTTTTTATTCGCAATCTTTCCATAACTCTGTATTTGATTGTTTCTGTTTCCATGAAATATGGTCTATTCTTTTGTATATCCCCATCTCCAGAGACTCAATTTGATTTTCTCGTTGCTTGTTCATTGTCCTTTTCTGTACTATATAGCAGGGTTGAGAATACATAACATTTGATGATTCTTATTTATAATATGTTGTGTATCTCTCTAGCTGTCAGTAATTTTCTCTAATATTTTTCTGTATAAATGTTTTTTTTCTCCGAAGGGGTCAGTGAAAGAAAGGCATCTGTGTTAAACTTTTTTTAGTACATGAGGATTTTAGAGAACCAAGGGGTGGTAATAACCTTTTGAAATTTTCTAAGTGGAAAGATAATTCAGAGCTGTGGATTCCTGTTTTGACACTACCCAGTGGTACATTTGTTTTAAAGAGAGATATATCACCTTATTTTGTGTGTCAATTAGTACTATAGTATATTTATTTACGGAAATGTCTCACATTCCTTGGAACCAAAAGAGTTGATGGTCTAGATTATTTAGGATGCTATCAAGTAAATTTCTGTCAGACACAGTTGAATCCTTATGGTTGTAAAATGGAACTTCAGGATACAGATTTAATCTGTTCCAAGGCTGGGCTGGTATGTGAGTAACTCATATTCTGAAACTATTTTCCCTTTAAAATTAATGTAACTAATTTAAATTTGTTCCAGCCCTCTAATAAATCACCCTGTTTAAAAAAAAAAGACATTTTTCATTTAACTTAGGAAAATGTATGACACTGTTACTTCCTACCATGATGCTACAGTCCATGAAACTTACAGCTAAACTACTTTACAATGGAGACCCCAGACAGTCTGATTGTTTCTTCTATCTTTCAGAAATGGAAAGTGGGAAAAAGAAGAGCAGAGAAGGATGAATTCCAGGGTGGAAAATTCTTTCAGTTGTTACAGACACCAAACCAAGCATTAGCCAGAAAAGAAGTGTAAGTATTGTATCACAGGAGGCATTCATAGCTGGAAGGATGTCAATTTTATAGCTGTTCTTATAGTTTTGTTTTGTTTATGGTGTTTCTGCACTACAGACAAGTGTTTAGTATCTTGCAGGTGACAGTGAAAAGTGTGTCTGTTTTTGTGTGTACATTATGTGTAAGGTAAAGGTCCTGTTTTAACACTAGTGGCATATTGGGCATATGAAGTTGGATTCATAATAGACTAGCCGGTGGGGGACATGTTAACACCACACCGGTTATCTTTATCCCCAAGAAATGACTTGGTACCCATTTTAGGCTGGGTAGACCTTGTGACACCATACCATACAAAGCATACATGGAAAGAGAAGAAGGATATAGAGCATGAGGTAGACCAAGAACAAGATGGAAGGATAACATCAGAGAAACTCTACAACAGCACGATGTGCCTATGGTCGAGGCGGCCAGAAGAGCTAGAAACAGAACCTTACATCTCCCTCGACACCCACAGAGGTAAAAGAGGAAGTGAAGAAGAAGAAGAAGAAGACCTGGGTGCCTTCCCATGTGGGTTCCCTATTATGGGGCAGGGGAAAAGAATAGGTTACTACCTACCCAAAAGCATGTCGTGAGAGTGGACTGATTGGGAGCTTTCTTTGAAGTCACAGTGCATCTACCTGAGAGACAAGAAACCAACAGTCTGCATATAAATGAGTTGCATCTGTAAAATGTATGTGCACGCAACACTCAGGTTCTGGAACAGGGCCGCAGTCCAGAAGTGGACAAACAACCAGAACTTTTTGCCAGAGTTGACAGCTGGTGAACACGAAGAAGAAGGAGACCTGGAAGCCAAGGTCAGTGTTAAAGGAAAGTTCTGTTTTGATACAATTTCCAACACAAGACATTCGGCTCGGCAGGCAAGCATCTAGCCACCACACTACTGCAGCATCCAGTCAGATAAAGTATACAGATTACCGTATAGACCTTCATCCATTATGAGTACAAAATTCATAATCTGTTTAAATCACTATTGATCACCGGCATCATGAGGGCTGATAGACTGAAATGGCTGGGGCATATTGAGAGAATATCTGATGTCAGAGAGGTAAAAACTGTGTTCACAAGAGTGTTGAATGAACATAGAACATGAGGCAGACCAAGAAAATATGGAGAGATGATATCTAGACAGACCTGCAAACACTTGATGTCACTAACTGGAAACAGAAGGCCAGCCAGAGAGATGAGTTGAGGTGGGCGATATCTGCAGCAATGAACCTCAAGGGCTCGGAATGCTGAAGAAGAAGATTATTTTTTACATAGCAGTGAAAATGTTATCATACCTGTAATACAGACTAGAGCTGAGTTATTCACGATATTGACGTCATTGCACTTGGAACGTCCCCCAGTATGTTCTATCCCCTTCCTCAACAGCTAATCATGAGTTGTCATACTGATGATGTGCAACCTGATTAAAAGTTTGCAGTGTTTTTCTCTGCATATTGAAAACTGCCCAGATCCTGTGTGTTTGGATGTTCTCTCTGTTCTGGTGCACTGTTAAATAGATCTCAGAGAGACTTCACTGTGTCTGCTTTAGCATGAAATAGTTCATCATGCTGATAAGTTGTAATTTTCCTGTGGCATTTTCCTTACAGTGAGGCTAAAATGGAAGTGTTTGGCAGATTTGTGGGCTGTATGACGGACAACATGAAAACACTTCTGACTGTTAATCAAGAATATGCCAAGAAACAGCTAGGACGTGAGTAATTGGTTTCACAGCCTTCTTCTTGCCCATTTACTCATTCTGTTACTGGAATTTAACACTGTCTATCATCATCGTGAAGGCAGATCCTTTGCAGAATGTCGCTGTCTGTCTATCATCATCGTGAAGGCAGATCCTTTGCAGAATGTCGCTGTCATGGTGTGCCTGAAAGCAACTGGGTCTCTCGTCAGCTCTCATGCCTGGCATTCTTTCATATCCAAGGAGTCACTTATATCCTGTGCCCATCTTCGTGTTGGTCAGCCCTGCCTCTCCTTCCTGGTACCATGCCTTCTGCTCTAAATTTTTTTTTCCAGTCCGCAGTAGCGCTTGATATATAGTTATACTATTTCAGCTTCTGAGACAAGATGCTGTTTATTAAACAAGCTTCCTTGATGTTCAGAAACACTGTCTGTGCCTAGAAGTTTTATTATTGGCTAGGCCACGTCTGCTGCTAAACAGTTGGTCTCCTCACTAGGAAAGAAGGAAGTCCTGTTGCAGATGCTCCCTTTGGAGCATGGCAGGGCCAATTTCCCTCCTTGGCCTTTCTTTCCCAGACAAAGTCTTTCATAATTTCTAAAAAATTGCTTCTTTTTAGCATTCACCGGCTGTAAAAACTGGCAAAAAGTTTTGGTTGTTCATCCATTTCTGTACATTATTTAACAAGGCTGTCAACTCCAAAGCCCTGCTGGTCAGGACATAATCCTGCTACTGCTAAAGATTGAACCAGTACCACTGTCTTGATAAGCAAGTGCACTAATCACTACACCACTCTGGTTCTTTTTATTCCAAAGGATGTTCTCAGTGGTATAAAAATGCGATAAAATGGAGTTGCTAGAAGTGACTTTTTACATCCTAGCACCTAAGCCAAACCCATTCATGCTCCGTCTTCTCATGTAGCAGTCGCCTCAGTGTCTCCATGCTCAGCGTACCCAGGAGTTTATTGGCACATCTTCTGTCTTTGCCCCACAACTGTTTTCTGCATCTCTGTCCTCATTTGGTACCCATTTCCTGCAGGGATTCGTCGCCTCTGACATTGTCTCAGCATGTCTGGAATGCAGCACATTCATTGTGTCTGTCTTCTTCGTACACTAACCACTGCAACACTGTCAGTCTATTTGGGTCTTTCATTTCCTTTCATCCCGATATGACCTGATATGTACATAGGGATGTCTTCTGTAATGGCTAGAGATGCGCACGTGATATTCTGGTATAAATGCAATTTATATGTGACCAGTTTTGACATGGGCATAGAGACATTGAGAGAAAGAAGCTGCTGGAATCAGGCAGTTACATCTTTACAAGGATCCTATCTGTTGTCCTGTTGGTTCTTCTTCTTTTGCTTTCATCATCCTGATGGTTCAGCATGACATCTTCTTTCCAGTTAATAAATTTATAGAATATCTCTCTCAGTTTAAACCAATGTTTTTCACTTGCATGTTTGCCTTCATTATTTAACTCAGTCTTGAATTTTATCAGTGTCTATTACATGCCCACCAACATTTATGTAACCATGATTACATACAGCACTACTGTTGTTATTAATTCTTTGTACTGTTTTCATTCATAATTTGTTTATATTTGTCGGTATTTACTTTGATTCTGTACACAGTATTTCTTCAGTATAACTTCTTACTTGCACATAACTGCAGGGCACACCAAGGTTATATACGTGGTGTGGCCGTTTTGGATGACCTAATTTATACTTCCTTTGAGGTTGAACAGGGAGGGTATCTGGGATTTATCTTGTTGGATTGTCATCCATGATGTGACTTTTTGAGTCATGGGGATGTCAGACCTTCAGGTAGCATTCCAGAGCATTCAGTTTTCAAATCAGTTATTTTTGCACAAATACTGCTAGCTCACAGTCCTCTCCCTACACCATATAATACGGTAAATTATGCACAGCATTTAATAACTATTATTTTTGCTCTTAACATAATTATTTGTTTATTATAAAATTCTGCATATGGCAATAGTCTTTCAGTTTAAAAAAAAATTTTCTTGGTTTGATTTGTTTCCGAAAGGAGTTTGGATCCCTGAAGAAGACCGTCAGTATCAACATTAAAACGGTTGATTAAACACATAGTGGTTTGTGTTGATTAGTGAACTGGTGTGTTTTCTTTCTTTGCATGTGTAAGACTACTTTCCTTGGACACTATTCAGTCAAGTCCTTTATTTTCTCTTTCTCTCTTTCCAGCATTCAGTGTATATCAAAGTGTTTTATTTAGATTTGTTACTTGTTTTTTTTTTTTCAGTGTGACAGGTTACCAAGTTTTTAATTAAATGTTTGTCACTTCTCCGCAATGGCTGTCTTTGCTATGTGCCTTGAAGGGTCAGGTCATCATCATCCTCTTGTGCCATTTAAAGTCACATAAGGCTCACCCTGCACCCAACCCTCCATTCCATTCTATCCTGCTCAGTCTTTTCTATTTCATGGATGGGATTCAGTCCACCGCCTTTTGTCTCTCTCGCCAGTGTGCCTTTTAGGGTTTCTTTTGGGTGTCCAGGTTTTCTCAGTCCATTCATTTCCAATTTCAGTACCTGTTTGGTGTTTCTCTGTCCATTTCTCAGGATGAGCCTAGTGTATCACAATCTTATCTTTCTTATTATTGTTGCCAGGGACTGTCCAGTCATCAATTGTCTCATTTCCACGGTGATCATCTCTTCTTTGTTCCATGAAGGGTTAGGTACATCACTACAGTTACTACAACCCTTCAGCACACATGGTGTCCTTGACTTACAACAGAGTTTCCCTTCCAACCAATAGGTCGGAATTCAAACTGGTCGTGAATTAAATTTACTTTTTCTAACTCTATATTTATTCGAATGGGTTATGAAAATTGTTCTTAAACACAAAAATTCAGTGTGGGTACATGTAAGTATTGTACATTATCTGAAAAATACATAATATATGTACCTTGTTGCATCAGTTGTGGGGATTATTTTGACCCTACCAGTGTTATCTTTCTTTATTTACTGTGTTTTATTTGTTATGGTCTTAAGTGTGGATAGTCGTAAGTCACATTGGTCTAAGTCGAAGAGAAGGTGTACATGAGATATCGTTTATTTCATAAACCTATGTGCCATGTATGGTGGGTGTACTGCAGCTTATACAATCTATTGTCAATTCAATGCTGTGTTTTATGTCTGAAATCTTTCTTTCAGTAAAGGGAAATTTCATAATTTTCTTTGGGTTAGTATATGTACCATTGTCATAGATGTTGTTCATTATGTATTTGTTATTCGTTTAGCACAGTCATTACTCTGTGTTGATGTAGTCTGTTACTGAATGCCCTAGTATGAAGATGTTAGTCATGATGTTCCCTTATATTTGTCATACTTCTCTTAGGCCACCTACCTACACTATTGCTAGTTACGAACAAGTTAGAAAAGTGTAGTTCATGTTTGTTATTTAACTTCATCTAAATTGTTTTCTTGAAAACATTGAATTGTCTAAATTGTGTGTAGTTATTATTGTTTGTAATTGTAACTTTAATGTCTTTGCATATTTATCACCATAATTAGAAAGAGACAGTTATCCTAGTTTTTCTAGTTTCTGCATAATTTTATTTCAACATTTAATTGTCTAATAAAATTTCCACCTTCGAGGGATTTCTTCATTTCCAAGGCCCTGTGTAGTTTTAATCTTTTGTGCAGAATATCTGTTTGCATACTTATCACACACATCAGAAAGAGACAGTTGTAATTTTTGGCCCATTGTAAGGATACGTTATGGAAGTTAGCTTATTTCTTAGCTCATGCCAAAATTTGTTACCATTATATCAGCTTATTCCTTCTTCTCAGAGACATATATTTAAATCTCTTTCAAAGACTGTGGTTAGTATGAGGCATGTTTAATAAGTAAGTCCTGGTGTAAAATTAAAAAACAACCATCATATGTAAAAATGATTTATTATCCAAAAGTGAACCACACATTTACATTATTTCTCAACATAGTCACAGTTGACGTCAACAAATTTTTGGTATCGTGGCACCAGGTTCTTAATTCAGTGTCTTGAACCATTCATTAATGCCTGTGTTCATCATCAAACCGCTGGGATGCCAGCCATTTCTTTAGGTGCATGAAAAGGTGGTAATCACTTGGTTGTAGGGCGGGTTGTCAACAATTTCCTAGTGAAACTTTTGCAACAGATAAACAGTCTGTGACGTGAGGTCGAGCATTTTTGTGCAAAAACACAATTCCAGAGGACAGCAACCCACATCTTTTGTTTTGGATGGCACACAATTCTTTTGTATCCAAGATTTCTTGTCACAGTGTTGTAATCCATGAACGAACGTGAAACTTCTGAAAATTCGACAGACAACGCAGAAATTGTGAAACGATGATTTTCCTGAATTTTTTGGTTCACTTCTTCAACCAAATCTGTCACTACACTTGGCGGACCACTACCAAATTCATCATAGATTTTTGTTAGCCCTTCTTTAAACATTCAACACCATTTCCTAACCATACTATCTGTCATAACATCTGGCCCATAAACCTCGATAAGTTGCTTGTGAATTTCTGCAGTACGGTTGTGTTTTTGCTAAAAACAAAAAGCGGATCACAGCACAAACCTTGCAGCTGGCGGGAGTATTTATTTTTGTTTTGTTTTCATTATCAATCACTCACACGCAGCATTAAACAAGATTTCGACAGTGAAAAAAATCGCATGCAGCTAGCTACAAAACAGCATAAACATACTGCATATGCACATTTACGTTTTCCATCGGTGTTTGTCCCTCCGGTCAAAGCGGGACTTGCTTAAAAAACACACCTTGTACTTTCAGGATTACACATAAAGATGCTCTCTTTGTGTTATGTGATATCTTTTCCACTTCTGTTTCTATATGCTTTTTTTCTAGGTCATACCGTAACAAGTTGATTATGAAACTCTTGTGTCTCGGAGCTGAATTGATCTTAGTTGTGTTTGAAGCTGTTTCTATATACATCATTACTTTGGGTTAAGGATGTTCCTGTAAACTGTAGCACTGAGTTGTATTTTGAAGTCAAGTTTCTGTAAACTGAACCATTTATGTCTGATTGAGGATGTTTTTGTTTGAGGATGTTTTCCTGATAAAGCACTTAGTTTTTTTTACTTGTAGCAAATAAGTGTGTGGGTTTCTGTCTGGTGTAGCACCTGTGTTTTGTTTGAGGATGTTTCTTTGTAGTGTTGCACATTGTTGTACGCAGCGTTCAGCCTCTGTATAGTATTGTTGTTTAGTTTGTACTCTCCCAGTGTGGGCTCTAAGCCCCCATTGTGGAGAAGAGGGGTGGGAAATAGACCCACTTCACCTAGCAAGCATGTTGTGCATCCACTAATTAGGAGTGTTTCCTTCCAAGTCGGATTGCAACAACTTCATGAGGGGCAGGGAACCAACTGTCTGCATAAACGTGAGCCAGATCTGTAAAATCTGCATGCAAAACTCATGTTCTGAAACATTGACTAATGTGGATGAACAACCAAAACTTTCCGCCGAAGTTTACAGCTGGTGAACGGGAAGAAGAAGGAGAAGAAGAAGTTGTACTTATAGTTAAGGTGATGTATGGTATAGAAGTTAAGTGGGTATGAGGATGTTTACAGTGTTGCACTCAGCTATACTTAAAGTTGAGTTGTTTTTTTTAACTAAATTTAAATAGATAGATAATCTTAACGTAGCAGCAAAAGCACAAAACAGGAAAATTAACTTTGAACAAACATTATGACCAAGATGTGCATAGTAAAACCAGAAACTTAAGTAAACAGAAGACTTCATTTATCAAGGGAGTATTATATCCAGTGGAGAAATGGAAACGGAGATTAGATTACAAATGTAATAAAGCAAATCAATTGGTTGGACAGATGTCATCAGTTGTGCAGAACAAACATGTAGCAGTAAACACAGAAGGAACACTGTTTAGTACAGTGTTTTTTACTAACAGTATGTCACCTGTGCCAAATATGGACATCAACAGCAAAGGAAAGAGAAAAATCAAACAACAGAAATGAAATGCTTAGTCTACGAAGGCTCAAGTGGCTGGGTCACACCTGAAGAATGGAAGATGGCAGAGTCCTTAATGACATCCTTGATTGCGAATTAAAAGCGGGTTGGAGATGTTGAGGCAAACCTCTACTACGATATAAAGATGTGAGCAAGCGGAACATGAATGATACAGGTAATGAGGTGGACTTGGAACAAAATGCCATGGACCGTCGTGTGTGGAGGGGGCACGTCGGGAAGAAAATAAGAATGAAGGAAGAAATGATTGCAGAAAGAATGAGAACTGAGCATCTGAGAAGAAACAAACTAAACACAAATTTTGACAGCAGTCCTGAAATCCCATGCAATAATCCTGGAAGACTTTTCTTAGCACGGGCGGGTCTTGCTAGTCACACTCGCCATCGCCATGGACTGTGAGTCCCATACCTCTTTATAGCACAGTAAACACTATCGTCTGGATAGACGGAAAGGTGCAAGTCGACTTTGGTTTACTTAAAGGCTAGTTTATCCAGTATCATTTATTCAAGTTTTTCACTATTGTAACCACAGAAATGTGTCCCGTAGCTTGGCACCTGAAAATGCAGAGTATATACTTGAACACTTTAGACCATATGCGGCTAACAAAGAAGCCATCTGGCCAATCCTAGCCTCAATAGAAACAAATAGAAACTACTCTGGATAAAAAGTAGTCTTCATCACTCGTGATGGACGAATAACAACATTTAGATATATGGAAAAGATATTACTATTCTGTGTAGCACTTAGGTGTTTTTGCAGCTAAGCTGCAGTGTGGTATAACTCTTAAGTATAGTTTTAACTCAGTTTCTGTGTTATGTAGCACTTGCATGTGTTTTAAGCTACTGTAAGGGCTAGGTTTGAAGCTAAGTTTTCAGTTTATAGACGGAAAGACAGATAAATGCCAATCAATATGCTTGAAGTCAAAACTTCAGGTATATCACTTGTCTGAATTTAAAACTAAGTTTACATGAAGCTATTTCTGTACTGTAACACTTAACTAATTTTGAAGTGATTTCTGTACTGTACATCAAGCACTTACTCAGTAGCTTAGTAAACAAATCAATGCACATGGGTTCATATGTGAAAACTGCATAAACAGATCATGACCAGAACCAAAAACACTTAAAGGCTTTAATGGACTATCACCATATTGAACTTGAAGTCCAGTTAAAGTTTTGTCTTGTGTTCATTGTTTACTCTTTTAGTTCTAAAAGAATGTTTTATAGGAGATGCCAGTGAAGACAAATCCATGATTATAATTCATCAATTCATTACTTTTAAAACAGTAACATAACAGTAATTGAAGAAAATATATTGAGCTAGGGTATTCAGCAGATATATTGATTCTTACATCCTGTATTGTTTGGGACTCAAAGAGTTGAGGAAATCCCAATTCCTAATCTTACTTCTTACGCCTATTTCTCTTTGGTATTTTAATTTACAATTTAAAAAAAAAATTGTATTCAGCATTTTTATGATTAGAAACTGTGTTGCTATATCTATGCTTTACTGTTACTGCTTGTGAAATCATCTTTTTCGCCGTCTTGTATTTCAGCCTTCAAGAGAGAGTATGCCAAAATTGGGACATCATACAAGCAGTTGGCACAGACGTTTAATTTAGATAAATCTGCATGTAAGTGCATTTTTTGTTTTTAAAAAGTTTTAGTCGCTGAAAAGTCATTTCAAAATGAAGTAGAAGGGGTCATCTTTGAAATACAAGAGTCACGAATAACAAAACAAACATTGCAGTCAGAAAGTCTTCTCAGTGTATGATATGAAGGGACAGTCATATAGTTACAAGCAAGAATGCATAACATCACTTAGCTTTATGGAAAGGCCTCCAACAGAATAATAGTAGTAGAATTAGCGCAAATTAGGGTGCAGGAGCCTCCTTTCAGCTCCTTATGCCTGCTGCCATGACTGGACCCTGGAGCTGCCTTTTTTAATGTTTTTTTTTTAAGAAGTGTGGTGGGATATGTTAGGTTTCAGTGGTAGCTAGGCGGCGATATTTGGGTTGTTGTAGTGCTGTTTGTGGGGGTGAGCTTCTCCTGTGCTGACTGGCGATTAGGTGCTGGTTTGATATTTGGACAAGCATGTTGTACTGCTGTTTGTGCAAGTGAGCTTCTCATGTGCCATGTCAGCAGGTTATCTTCATGTGCCGTATGAGCACCTCATGTGTCTTTATTGTCATGGGTATGGATGCGCTTCTCATGTGCTATGCGAGCAGGTTATCCTCATGTGGATAGCGCAGGGTGGGATATGCAAGCGGTTGAAATTTAATGGGAAGAGATGTAACTCGGGTTTTATTTTAAAGATAAAACCGTGTTGGACTGTGTTAAGTCCTTTAGGAGAGAGAGAACCCAGTAGCAATAGGCAAATAAATGGAGGTTGTTAACATGGAATTATACTGGATTGGAAGCCTCCTTATGAATGCCCGTAAGCCCGGTTTAACAAAATTGTACTCTCATTGAGATACTGACAGCTGTAGATCTTACTGGCTGGTTCATAAAAACCATGCACTTATTGTCTGCGATGGATACTGCAAATTTTTTAAGATTCACTAGAGCACATTGTTAGTCTTAGACGGCTATAAAATGTCAACATTGTTAATCGTAGAAGGTTAGTTAATGTTCTTCTAATGTCTGCTCTCTTCAGATTCACTTGCTTTGACAGCAGCCATAGATTACACAGGGGATGCCTACATAGAGATTGGGGAGATGTTTGCCAGACAGGTATGATCCAAGGAAGTGCAAGAGTTATCATCATCATCGTGAAGCAGATCCTTTGCAGATCGTCGCTCTCATCACAGTCTGCCTGAAAGAAACTTGGTCTCTTGCCAGCTCTCCAGCCTCATGCTCTTTTATATCCAAGGAGTCACTTATATCCTGTGCCCATTTTCGTGTTGGTTGGCCCCTGCCCCTCCTTCCTGGTACCATGCCTTCTATTATTTTTGTTTCCTGTCTGCCATGGCAAGGGTTAAGTAGTCTGTTTCTGATCTACTCATCATGTTAAGCTTAAGACAAACATTTGGTTAACATGAACAAAATGTACTCCTAGCAGGGATGCAGAGATGTATTCTTCATAACACATCTGTTATGATCCCCAGTTAGCGTGATGTTTTTTTTTGGAGGGGGGGGGGGGGGGTTAATATCAAAATCCTTTCATGTCATTATATGTCCCATAATGCTCGTAGTCTAGTCCTCCATTGAGTTCTGTTCTGTGCATTCCTGTTGATATCATGAATGGAATCTGATCCATCACCTTTGATCTCTCTCAGCATCATTCATTTTAGGTGGGTTTTTTTTTGGGGGGGGGGGTGGGGGTGGGGGGGGGGTTCGCCTTTGTTCCCTTTATATGTGTGTTTCCCATTTGTCCTTTTAGTGATTCTCTGTCCATTTCTTCCAGTATGTTGCCATCTTCTTTTCTTGTGTGTTGATACAAAGGGTTATTCAGAGATTTCTCCTATTTCTTCGCCTTTCTTGAATTTGCCACATTTAATTTTCATCAGTTTTCTTAGGTATGTGTTTTTTTTTTTATTTTTTTTTTAGAAGAGCTAACTCAGATACAGGTTTAACAACAACAACAACAACCACCCCACCCCTCGCCCCACCCCTTTTTTTACCACACTAACCAGAACATTCTTTAATGTTTTCATGTGTTATTTTATGTTATGTTTTGGCAGTGGCTACATCATTTGTTTGTTGGTTTGTTTGTCCTCGATTCGAATGCCCCTCTCCCCTCCCCCGTTTCATAATATACCTACATTTCTATGTATAAGATGATATGTTGTCCAAGATTAGTTTACAATTGGGAATGGTCGTATACACGATATGTATGTTTAAAATATTTATTTCTTAATCTTAGGGTCACAACAGGGTGTCCTCTTATACCTGGAGGCATCTTAGACATGTAAAATACATTATTTAATAGCCCATCGGCCCTTGGTCAATCCAACCTCATAAATATGATTTGGGAAATTAGGAACTGTAATGGCTTGTGTCTTAATTGTACATGCATCACCCATCATCATCATGTGACTTACCAGTAACTAAGCGTAGGCTGTCATGTTTGGCCATCTCACACGACCTTGGATCAGCTGAGTGTTTTTGTCTCCTCCCGTGCATCTGACCAGGCCATCTGGGTATTTTTCTATGTGCCTTCCTCTTACTTTCTTTCCATCAGCTTGCCAGTTGTTACCAAATTCTAGAGTCCATTTATTCTCATAAGATGTTCAGAATATATTAACTCTTTACGTCTTAATCATTCAAATAAATTTATGACTTTCATCTGACTAGAGGACTGCTGCGTTTTGTTTTCGTTTTTATCTTTTCATGATATTCTCCACATTCTTCTCAGAAACCACATCTCTGCGTGAGTAAATTTATTTCAGCTCGTGGGCTGATTGTCCATGTTTCACAGGCATATAACAAAACACAAGATTGTAAGTTGTGAAATCATGACTGTTGTTGGCATCGGGAAGAAGGTAGTTTGCTGTTGTCACCATCGGGTCATCCTCTGCTTACCATCAAGGAACTTGGGGACCATGCCCAGGTCAGCTGCTTTCGACCTCACTCAACCAGCAGCCGCCATGGGTTTCACCTTAACCCTGATATAGGAGCTAAACAGATACTCTAACTTGCCCAAGTGTGTCCCATAGGCTAGCAGAGGGAGGAAGGAGCCTTACTTCTCTTTTGATAGAGGATACCCCTATCCCTTCACTCATCACATGCTGTTAGAGCTTTCCAGGTTTTTCATTTTGGTGACAGGTTTTTTTTAAGACAAATATTTTTTTGCAACACAGTAATTCAGTCTACTAGCAAACCAGAAGTTAGACTAACCTCTTAAAAGAGGACACGCACAAATTATGTTCACGCGACACACCATCACATGCAGCTAACGTACACTAGTGCGTCGCGATACACAGTTTGAAAAGCTCTCTTTTGGATCAGCTCAATATGTTCCATTAATCAAACAACCATTCTGCATTGAGATGCCAGCAATCATGTCTGTACCTGTTTTCCTCATGTCCACAGCCAGTGCTAGATGCATACCCGCTTATAGAATTTATCCATGAGTACAAGGGAGTTCTGCAGACATACCCAGATGTTCTCAAAGTTCATGAGGTTGGTATATTCGTTTATTTTCATTATTGACCTGTTTTACATATATTTTCTGCAGTTGACATCTCGAAGTAACATAACACAACACAAATTGTCACTGTGAACCTCCATTGAAGGTGAAGGACAAGATATGCACCAATAGGAGTGATAATTTCTGCATTCTTTCCCAGCAGTCATTGCACACTAAGATTATAGAGGCCGTAATAGAACTTTACCTGGTACCAGGTCTGGGTCAACCTGGGAGCCAAGGGCATTTTTGACAAATTCCAGCTCAGTGCAGATGTGAACCTATGACCTTTAGGGGTGCAGATAGCGTATCTGAGGAAGTAAAGGCGGCTGGCGGGATGCTGACCACATCACCTAGCGAGTGCTGATTATGTGTACACTATAGGTCTGGCACTGTACACCCAGTCCACCTAAGGGACGAGGAACGGTGTCCTTTACTGTGTTATTGAACAGCTGATTTTGCCCATGTGTTTCTGATGCCCATGAGGAAAGTAAAGAATAATACCACTGTCACTGTCCTGCAAGTTGAAAGAGGTAACTAAGGAGAGTTGGTGTGTGTCTGGCTGCCTGACCCCACTGAAAATGTAGAGACAGATCCTTCTTCTTCATCGTTCATCTGAGTGACATCATTTGCATTGTGCCTTTTTTACAGCATAGCTGAAATATTTGCGCCTTTTGGCCAAAACTTCCGTCGTCGTCTGGCAATTTTTTTCACTAGGCTGGCCTTTCCTGTTGGTTTAATGCAGGGCTGTTCAGCTGGCAGCCAGAGAGCCAAGTATGGCCCGAGGAGGCCTGGCACTTGGCCCACGGATCATTGTATGAATGATTTTTCTATGCTAGGAGACCTCTGACCCGTAACAATCCCCATCTTCAAAATTTTGGCTCCTGAGTTAACTTAGTTAAATATTACTAGTTTAATGGGACATGACTTAGCCGTATTTGTGTAGTATCCCCTGACTTTCAGATGTTACCTCTAAAGACCCTGTACAGGACAGACACACACACAGACTGGTCAACTCTCAAGGGAAGATGGAGGCAGAATATCGCCATTTCTCACCATCCTAGGAGCCTTCTCAAATGCAGAACCGACACAAGTCCCTGTAGCGATCAAAGAATTTGGCATAGATTAATTGTAGGCATGTGCACCATTGTGAGCTAAAAGGCAAAAGAAGTAGAAAGAAGAAGAACAACTGAATTAAGTACCGAGATCCAGGTAGACTCACCTGAGCAACAAACGTCTGAAGAAGTTGGATGTTTCTGCCAAAAGGCACACATAAGACAGACACAATGCAGTTATATCCTCAGATAAACAAATAAAAAGAAGAAGAATGCTTAGGATTAAATGTTCTACTTTATATGGGATATGAAGTTAAATTTTAAAATATACAAATCTTCTTCTTCTTCACTTCCTCTTTTACCACTTTGGGTGTTATGGGGATATAAGGTTCTGCTTCTTGTTTTTCTGGTCCCCTGAACCACAGACACATACAATCTGTCGTGAAGTTTCTCTGATGTTATCTTTCCATCTTGTTCTTGGTCTGACCTGTGCTCTACACCCTTCTCTGCTTTTGATGTATGCCTTCTGTGGAATGGCGTCACAAGGCACTCTATCTGAGTGGGCAGACCTTTTGATTTGCTGTCTTTGTATGTAATTTGGAATTGTTTCTATGTCCACTTTTTCTCCTATAACCTCATTTATGATTGTATCTCTTTTGGTCACTCCTGCATCCATTCTCAGGCATGTCATTTCCATGGTAACTAATTGTCTGTTATGGTTTGTTATGAATGACCCTGTCTGGCACTGGTAGCATTTAATAGGAATGAATGTGCTCTGTATGAGATTTTTTGTGTGCTGATTGGGATTTAATTTTGTTGTAGGAGGGAGACTAGCTGTCCCACTACTTGGTTGCTTCACTGCTTCTTTCTTTCTATTGACATTACTTCTGTCTTTTCAGTGTTGATTTTCATTTTTTCTTGTATTGGTAATTTAGGGTGCTGTAGGAAAAGCTAAGGAGTGTCAGAAGCTGCAGGAGGAGGGAAAGATGACTGAGCAACAAGTGAAGAATGTTGTGGCAAAGGCAGATGTTATCTCCTATGGCACTCTGGCAGAGATGAACCATTTTCAGCATGAACGAGTTCGAGACTTCAAGTACATGATGCAGAGATATCTCCAGGAACAAATAACTTTTTACAAAAGAGTAAGTTCCTTTATACATTTATTTGTTTGATCAAGCTGTTTCCCTTGGATTCCATCCTTGATATTGAATTGATTTTTTCCCCATGTGGGTTCTGGGGCCTCATTGTGGGTGAAAACAGGAATAGACCCACTACCTCCCCAACAAGCACGTCATAGGAGTTGACTAATTAGGGGGTTCCTTCGAAGTCGGAGTGCATCTGCCTGAGTGGCAAGGAACAGCCAACTGCACACAAATCAGCCAGTAAAATGGATGTACGCATTCTCTCCCTTTACGTGGGCAAAATATTTTACTTGCCGTCTTTCTGTGTTATTTAAGAATTGGTTTTGTGCCAACTTGTTTCTTTTATGACTTTATTCCTGATGTTATCTCGTCTGGTCACTCCTGCAGCCTTTCTGTGACATCTCATTTCCATTGCTACTAATTATCACTTCTGGTTTGTTGTGAGTGACCAAGTATAATGAGTATGTATAACTTTCTGGATTGTTTTGAGTGACCAAGTATAATGAGTATGTATAACTTAATGGATTGTTTTGAGTGACCAAGTATAATAAGTATGTATAACTTAATGCTTTCCCATTGCAACATACGCCTGTGAGACCTGGACACTTACTAAACAAGCGGAACAGCGCATAAATGCATTTGAATATAAATGTTACAGACAGGTTCTAAGAATATCTTGGGTAAAGAAAAGAACAAATGCATCCATACTTCAAGAGCTGAATATTGAAGAGGGTTGGCTAATAAAGACAATAAAACAAAGAAAATTGAAATATTTTGGTCACTTGAAACGTCATGGAAGTCTAGAGAGAACAATAATGGAGGGGTATATGCCTGGGAAGAGAGGAAGAGGAAGGCCAAGGAGAAGATGGGTGCAGGATGTGGCAGATGATCTCCAGATGGGTGTATCAGACGCAGGACATCTTGCTCAGGATAGGAAGGTTTTCCGGAGGGTTGTTATGGCAGCGAGGTTCCGCGAGGGACATGCTACTGAATGAATGAATGAATAACTTAATGGATTGTTGTGAGTGACCAAGTATAATGAGTATGTATAACTTTCTGGTTTGTTTTGAGTGACCAAGTATAATGAGTATGTATAACTTAATGGATTGTTGTGAGTGACCAAGTATAATGAGTATGTATAACTTTCTGGTTTGTTGTGAGTGACCAAGTATAATTAGTATGTAAAACTTAATGGATTGTTGTAAATGACCAAGTATAATGAGTATGTACAACTTTCTGGTTTGCTGTAAGTGACCAAGTATAATGAGTATATATAACTTCCTGGTTTGTTGTGAGTGACCAAGTATAACGAGTATGTATAACTTCCTGGTTTGTTGTGAGTGACCAAGTATAACGAGTATGTATAACTTTTTGGTTTGTTGTGAGTGACCAAGTATAACGAGTATGTATAACTTTTTGGTTTGTTGTGAGTGACCAAGTATAATGAGTATGTATAACTTTCTGGTTTGTTGTGAGTGACCAAGTATAATGAGTATGTATAACTTTCTGGTTTGTTGTGAGTGACTAAGTTTAATGAGTATGTATAACTTTCTGGTTTGTTGTGAGTGACCAAGTATAATGAATATGTATAACTTTCTGGATTGTTGTGAGTGACCAAGTATAATGAGTATGTATAACTTAATGGTTTGTTGTGAGTGGCCAAGTATAATGAGTATGTATAACTTTCTGAAAACTGTTGCCTGTTTACATTTACAATATTCCATTTTTGTGTTTTTCAGCTGACGGGCAAGCTTGAAGAGGCTCTGCAGCATTACAGCCAGGCATAGTAGTTCTGATGATGTTTGTGCCAGTTGGCAGTGGACAGATAAATTAATGTATGATTGTGCGTCTTCATCTTTACTTTGGAATCTCACTTTTATAGTCTGTTTCTAGTGCCAGGAGATTATTTCTTTTGTGAGTTTTCACAAAAAGACTTCTCCATTTATTAGTCTTGTAGATTAAACATTTAAAACAGACTATTAGTGATGCACCGGAGAACTTGGTCACGGTTCGAATATTTAGTTGATTGTTTTTTTATGCCAGGAGCCTTTCTGGCATATGATGCTAGGCTGATATTTAAAGTACAGCAGGGGAAGATCGAGGGCAGGTGTCATGACCCAGGCTGGCCTACCTTCTGAGATTGTATAGGAAGTAATGGGCCGAAACAATTGTCGACAAGGGATCTTTCTACTGATGATCGGTGGACCCCTGCAGTACGTGCTCACCTGTGTTCTTCTTATTGTATAGGCAAATCAACACTAGGAGGGTGATGTGGTCAACATGACATTGGCCAGCTTTTTTCCGAGGACATTACCTGGTACCCATTTTAGGCTTGGTCGACCTGGGAGCCACCATCAGTTTGAACAGATATCTGCCTCAAAGTGGATTTGAACTCAGAATCCTTGTGCTGACATATGAATATCAAGTTATACTTTGTTTTAAACGTTAGGGGCTAACTGATTCATCTGTCATTTGCAGCTATGAAACCTGAACTTTTTTTTTAAATGCACTCGTTTTCATGTTTTATGAATTTGCAGGATTACTTTTTTTTTTTTTTAATATTACAAAAAAATTGTGGCGCATGGGTCGACCTATCTTACAAGTTGACCTCACGATTTATAGCTCAGAATTCTGAGTTAGACTTATATGTACCATCTGCGTTGATACCCAAACATGTGGTTGGATGTCATTATTTACTCAAACACCATTTTTAGACAGATATATTTGTGCTGGCCTGTTTACGGTATGGTAAGTGGTGTATAGTGGTATCTAGGGGTGCGCTATCCCACTCGTTCACAATTAGGTGGTATGGTTTGCATTTTATACGGGCCATATAAGTAGACCTAAATTCCTAGAAAGAAATTTTTAGGCTTGAAATGCTCGACTTATGCGCCACAGTTTACTTTATTTTACTGCTTTTGTTATAAATTTGACATAGTGACTTCCTCAACTTCTTCTTTCATTATGTTATATCTGTTCAGCATTATGCAATTTTTTTAATATTATTTATACTTACAATTGTTGTGTTCATCTGCTGCCATTCTCAAAAACTGAGATACAAAATAATGTGCATTTGATAGATAATAATTTTGAACATACACTGTTGTAAAGGAGTAATGGAAAATAAATACTGTCTTCAGTCACTTGTAGCAAAACTCAGCAAAATTCACAAGCATAATCTTCTTCTTCTGCCTCTTCTTCTTTTTCTGCTTCTGTTGCTTCTTTGTCTTCTGTATCTTTTCTGCTTCTTCTTCATCTTCATCTTCTTCTTCTTCTTCTTCTCTTTCACCCTGTCTCTCATATTCCCCCTTGTTTGTTATGTGCTGTATATGAAGCTTTAAAGTGCTAATTTATTGTCTGTAGGTTTTCTATATTATGTATATTTTCTGTGGGGGCGTTTGCTCTTGAAAAGGCAATACCTTCTCATTCCAACACATCTGATTTCAGCAGACTCTTCATTGCTCATTTTCTAAATGCTTGTGAAGGCTTAGTAGATCAGTGGGTCGATTCACACCCCTCCCCTCCTTTTTTTTTTTTTTTTTTTTTTTTTTTTTTTTTTTTTTTTTTTTTTTTTTTATTTTTTTTTTACAAACACCACCCCTCCCCCTTTTTTCCCTCCTGTAAAAACCCTCTCGGGAAGTTTGAATATCTAGTAAATACATTCAGGTGTGTCAGGATCAGCATGAGTGCTGTGTTGTAATTCCAACATACCATGTTTAGTGCAGGGGCAATGTGGCAGCGGACTGGCCATATTGCTTTGATTTAGACAGCTGTGTGAGTGTCCACTATTCGGGAAGCAGTGGCAAAGTATTGAACATAAAATTTGCTGATAAAATCACAAAACAGTCAACAAATGCTGGGGTTAGTTTCTGATGTCCCTTATAAATGTATGCAGCTGACTTAAAGAATGAGAGTGTCGGCTGTTGTGAATTTATGCATGTGAGAGCAAGAACATTTTTATTTTGCATACGTAATGAAACAATAAATAATCTGATTATATGCAAGAACATTTAGAGCACAAAGTGAAATGCATGCATTACAAACATTTTTATGTTTAATTTGTTAACTTATTCAGTACTAGGCAACTTACTTTGTGCTTGTTAGAACCCGCCTTAGATGGTGCGCTCTTGTCAGCTTCTTGTACCTTTGCCAGCTGTAACATTAACCCCTGCTATCCCATTGTTACTTCAAGTTCTCTTGTCCCATAATATTATTGTTTAAACCATGTTAGACCCAGACTGCTGATTGGTCTCAAATATAGGTCTAGCCCTATCTGAAGGTGGGGAAAGAGGTCCTTTACATGACCCTGACTGTCTCTGAGTTTCCCCCCGTGTAGGTTCTGGGGCTCTGTTTGGGAGAACAAAGTATACACTCACCGCTCTCCCCCGTAACAAGCAGATCGTAGGAGGCGACTAATTAGGGGAGTTTCCTTTAGAGTCAGAGTGCATGTGGCTGAGAGGGGAGGGACCAATGGTCTGCATACAAATAAGCCAGACCTGTAAAATGGATGTGCATGCAAAACTGAAGTTCTGGATCCAGATCAAAGTCTGGGAGTGAAGGAACAACCAGAACCTTCTGCCAGAGTTTACAGCCGGTGAACATGAAGAAGAAGAAGACCCGGACTGTTGTTACTGGAGGCAAGTCCATGAGATGTGTGTAGTTGAAGGAATGTTTGCAACTGACAGGCTTGAGGTAGAGATGAATGGGTGATACAGGAGCGATTGTTCAAGTGGAGCATCTGCAGTTCCTGCTCTTTTGATCTTATGGGTGTTCGTGTCTAGAGACATGAATTGTGCTGATGAAGTGTCATGTTATCTTAATGGCATAATGGTCATGATGCAATTTATTGATATCTATATATAGATAGATAGATACCCACCCATACAAAACTCTTTTTCTGGCTCTCTCTGTGTCTCTGTTTCTCTCTTTCTGTCTCTCTCATATTACAAAATAAGAATAAGCACAAATACAGAAAATAGATCAATTATTGACCAACATTTAATCTCTATTTCCCTGCATGAAAGAGAGCTGCCGTTAAAAAAAAAGTTGATGGGGAATGTATGTGTAACAAAAACAGTCATATACAAGTGCTGTGGGGAGACTAGGAAGAAAATTAAAATTATTTTTGTTAAAGTTGTTGAAAGAAATATGAAAAAGCCAGTGAAAGAGTTTGGCTACAGTAAAAAAAAAAAAAAAATGTGATCTATTGCAGTCGTTTGAGAAAAAATAAAGTTGTAAACATTTGATAAAACAAACTGTTATTACTGTATGTGCCATTTTTACAGTGTAGACCGGGGTCTTTAAACCTCAGGATTTATGGCCGCATAGCTGGTGCTGTAGCCATGAACTCTGCAGGTTAGAATTTTATTTTGGCCACCGTCGGAACAGAATCAACATCCTTATTGAAAATGTTAACCTAGATTTATAATTTAAAACATCATTAAATGGAATGAATTCAAGAATGCTTTGATGTTGAATCTTGACCCAGATGGACCCGTCTCTGTTTATCTCTCTGACTCTCATTCTCTTTTCAATTGGTGACTGTAAGTGTTTACAGGTCTGCCTATATATTATCTGTCCACATCTTCTTGGTCTGCCTCATGGTCTGTTCCTACACAAGTCTTTAAGTACATATTTTTTCTGTGTCTGTTATCTCTCTGACTCTCATACTCTTTTCAGTTGGTGACTGTAAGTGTTCTGGTCTGCCTATATATTATCTGTCCACGATCTTCTTGGTCTGCCTCATGGTGTGTTCCAACACAAGTCTTTAAGTACATAGTTTTTCTGTGTCTGTTATCTCTCTGACTCTCATACTCTTTTCAGTTGGTGACTGTAAGTGTTCTGGTCTGCCTATATATTATCTGTCCACGATCTTCTTGGTCTGCCTCATGGTCTGTTCCCACACAAGTCTTTAAGTACATAGTTTTTCTGTGTCTGTTATCTCTCAACCATTGCAGCCTGTTAGCCCTCATGATGCCAGTAATTAGTGGTTCTTCTTCTTCTTTTGTTTGCTGGAAATAGATTGTTTTGTATCCACAATGTTGTCTTTAGTATGAACTTCACTGTCTCTTGTGATTCAATTTCTTTGTTGCCTTTCAATCTCCCCTCACTGCTAAAATGTAAGCTAGAGGTGTACATTAACACGTGCCAGTAACACCATTGTGTAGTAATCCTGTGGTGATCTTGAGACTGTTGTGATGAAATTATTGCCAGTTTGACTTTTTCCATTTAAACCATCCTGGTGCCAGTAGGATTTTATAATTTCAGCCAAAATGGCAATAATGTGATGTTTTTGGTGTAAGCCAGTATGATGTCAGTGTGATGTTTTTGGTGCAAGCCAGTATGATGTCAGTGTCATGTTTTTGGTGCAGGCTAGTATGATGTCAGTGTGATGTTTTTGGTACAAGCATGTGTGATATCAGTATGATTTTTTGTTTTTTTGGGGATGCAAGCCAGGATGGTGCAACATGATTCATGGTTTATTGGTGGTAAACCAACTAGATTAAGCATGCTATCATTGATGTAAACCAACATAATTTAGTGTTCATTATTGTACATCAACACAGTTCATAATATGATGTCCTTGTAAAGTAATAGATCACAAGACAAGCCTGATTAACACCGTCATATGCCATTAGTTGTTACCTTTGCGCTCAGATGTATTCATTTAACAACCAGTTAGTCTAATCTTCTTCTGTATTTGCCCTAATATGAGTGGTTGGCACACTGTGTTGTGGTTTACAGCTAGACAGCAAAATCTGCGTCTTTTGGCTCAACTTCATGACAT